CTGTACAGATTGGTTTCAAAGGAGAGTTGTATCACTCAGAGAGCGCAAAGCGTATATCACTGATGATCCAAGGTTCTCTTCACGACTCTTGAAGTGTTGATGATATGTTCACAGCATAACACGCAACATCAAGCCACATTTGGTCTCAAGCTAGGCAAAGGCAATGAGTGGGAGCTTCCGAATGTATAGATGCTTTGAGATATCAGAAGAGAACCCCCCTCCAGAGGAACCTGTATAAAATCTCTACACGAAGATAATTACAGAGACTTGTAACTTCACTTCAATTTTTTTTTGTTTAATGGTTTGGATTCTTTTTTGAGTAAAAAAGGTAGGAAGAGGTTATTTTTTAGTTTGTTTTCTTTCTTCTCCAACGTATTGTAGTGAACTAGTGATGATACCAACCGATAAAAGCTAAAGCTATCTCTTATAAATAAAGAGTTTTTGAGTTAAGCGATTACAAAGTACAAACACAAATTTAATAAAAGAATATTTGAATTGATACGCCAAATATGAGAGGAAAAATACAATGAATCAACGTGTGTGGTGGCTTTAACATTTCGTGGGAACCCGAGTTTTTATTGGCTTTAGCTTCAAACCAAGACTCTCTGGAGAAAGAAGCTCTGGCGAAATACATGACGGACTGAGAGGACTACGGGGGCTATCGCTAACCCGACCAGGCCGATACAATCCAAACCCCATGAAAAAGAACTCCATTGGTATCAACATTGCATGTGGTTGCTCTTCTGTCACCATTGATCCACACGCTTGCACCTCCAATTTCAAACAAAAAACAATCAAAACATGTTCCAAGAATCTAAAAGCCTGAATCTGTACTATCAGAGATGAGCTACGAGCTACCAGAGCTGTTTTTACATTAAACCGCATACCTCAACCAAGGCGCTGTATTTTCTGTCCAATGCTGTCACCATGTGAAGAGTTTCAGAGTGGAAAGGAGATTGGTCGCCAACAAAGATGAGTGTACGGCATTTCAAACTCTTCAATCCATCAGTTAAGTCATGTCTCCTGTTAACTGCTTCCAGAAACCGCATAAGACTACTACCGTGTCTTTCACCTAGCAGCTATATAAACATATCATATGATACAACAACATTATTACAACGATGATGAAAAGCCATACAATCATCTGGAGACTACTACTAGATTTAGCACTCACTCTTCTGCATTCATGTACCACATCCCGCTCTGGAACTTCAGAGCTACCACGAGCTTCCTGTCGTAATTTAAGAACAAGATCAATCGGTAACTATTGATTATATCCGGGTTTCATTAAGAAATCACAAGAAAGATTACCTTACTGAAGTACCTCTGAAGGAAAATATCTTTTAACAGTCCAGACATGCCATAGTAGTACAATAAGTTTGACACAACCTGCAGGAAGTTTTAACATCGGTTTATTAGTCTGGATGCGAAAGAAGTGTGGTTTCCCCCTTTTGTAGAGTCATATAAACTATGATGGGAAGGTAAGAAAAAAGAAACCTTGTAATAAAACCATTCAGACCATGAGGGTGCTTTGCATAGAGGCGATATAAGAATCAAACCCAAAACTCGTTCTTTATGTTTAATCTGCAACCATAAAACAATCACTGATAAGTAATGAGATACGTTATTGTATATGTTCTGAGAATATAGCTACAAATAAATCCTCATGATGCCTCAATGAGTACATACAGCAAACAAGGAAAGGATGTAGGCACCAGCTGTGATCCCCATGCACATTACTGCCTCAAGGCTGCAAGACATATAGATAGTTAGAGGATAATAGCGGAATTACTCTCGTTATGATTGAGAGTTAGTCGCAACATGAGTCAAGTTTTACCTAAAGAAGTTCAATACTTCAAGAATCTGGTCCGCGAGGTCTTCAACAGAAGGTGACGGATCATTGGAACAAACTGGAGCAGCTCCGAACTGCAAAAACTCTTGTGGAAACGATGGAACCCAACACAACGTGAGCAAACAGCAGATACAAAGAAAAGAATGAACTGTATCAAGACAATCAGTTTTGCAAACCTCATGTCCTGGGGGACTAATATGGTAGATGCAGAAATTATGGAGCAGTAAGGACACCGCTTCAGGGCATAGAAACAATCCTTGGAAACACGACATATCTAGCAGACATAAAAACACACAAGAATCTAAAATCAGATTACCAAATGATGTGAAAATGAAAACAAATCATCTACCAAATGCATATTCCACATTCTTACAGTTTAGTGCTACATCTGGATAAGTGATCAATGCTGGTTTCTCTTGATCTCCATACACTACAACTGAAACTGAACCATGGCAAGTTTTGACATGATGCTCCTGCAAGAGATAAGAAAATAAGCAAGAAACGAATCAGTCTATATCCAAATTAAGAGAAAAATTAACAATACCACATTACTCATATCCCCACCATTAGCCTTCATCCAAAAACAGCTTAACATTATTTTTTATTTTATTTTATTTTTTTGAAAACGCTTAACATTATTTAGAAACCAAAATAATCTCTTAATTTCTGTTCTTTAAATCAGATACAGCTAAGAAAAGGAACATTCCAACATTGTTCCAGACAACAAAAAATATCAAGGACCTCAAGAGATTCTCCCATGTGCAATGATTCAGAAAAATCAGTAAGAAGAGATAACTTATGGCTAAAAAAAGTCAGACATTATATATCAATCATGGAGCCACAAAAAGATACCATTTTCAAGGGAATCTCTTGACCCTTTTATGCAAGAAGAACAAAGAATCAAACTAAAAGAAACACCCAACTTGTAGATTTCAGATGAAGGATCATCATAAGACAAAGTGAAACAACTTTTTAAGTATTAATCTCCCAACTTGTAATTAAATTAAGCAATCAAGAAATTGAAGCTAGAGATACTAGAAGATTCAAGAAATCAGAGGAGCAATGGCAAAATCTCCCTTCAATTTCCCAACTGAGATTAGATGCTAATTAGGGAAACTAAAAAAGCCCAGAAGAGAGAAAACGAAATGTGACTGTTCTAAGTGCCTGAGAGAGAAGAAGACAAAAGGAGAAAGGAAGTAAATTTGGTAGCTCAACGTGTAAACAAAACCTTGCCACCATTGTAGATCTCTTCAATGTCGAGTGAGACGTCGTCGTTTAAACCCACCATGACCCGAGAAACCAACCCCCAAAGACTGCTCCTTTCTTGCTCTTTCTATCTTGAAATTGAAATTGAAAGATAACAAGAACAATAAAGTCTTAAGCTTTCTTGTGGGTATTATTTGCCTTAGATTGTACGCTTCAACGGCTCTTTTGAGCTTCACTTTGTCTTCTTCTTCGATGGAATGGACCACTCTATCTCTCTCTCTGTCTCGATGTCTGTGTCTGTGTCTTTTAAGCAAAGCCGCGTTGCGTTTAATGGCCCAGCGGTTAATCAAATCATTCCCACCGACGCCGATGACTCTTTTCTTTTTTGGTTTTGATTTGCACCGAATATCAAACGGCACCGTTTCTTTAATCACTTTCTCATTTTATTTATTTGCTTTTTTTCGTGTATGATTGGTCACTTGAGAATCTTCCAAGTTCGTTTATTCATCATAAACATGGTTTCTTTTCTATTTTTTTGATCAAACAAACATGGTTTTTATATAATCATGATTTAGTTTTATTATGTCGTTTTGTCAAATTTACAACTAAGAAAATAGAAATTTGTCAGTGTCCTAGTAAATTTGAAGTTATGTTATATTAACAACTTCACCATTTTATATGCTTTTTCACGATTTATCTATTATACAATTATTAGTTTATTACTAATCAAGAAAATTTTGATGTCATACATAAAATACCTTGTTGCTTATTAGAATCGCTCAATCGTATTCTTTCTTTCTTACAATTCGCTTGAACATAAAATCATAAGAAACTCTGTCCAACTAGGATGAACCGTGACCCGAAGACACAACTGATTCAATGTTCGGCCAGTCCGGTTTTCAAAGCATTGCATAAACCAAAACAATATCATTTCTAAGATGAGAACCAAGATCCAAACTACAGTTGTATTACAAATTTACAAGGAGGTATCAACTTAAAAAGTCGTAATTAAAAGATTTGCATAAGCTTCACATCCTCTACATTAGGCCTGGGCATAAAATCCGAAATCCGAAAACGATCCGAAACCGATCCGAAAAATCCGGCTCCGGCTCCGAATCCGAACCGAATAGTTATAAAACCCGAACGGATAATGAATTCTCCTATCCGAATTATCCGAACCGAACCCGATCCGAACCGAAAACCGAAAGGATATCCGAAAACCGAAAATAAAATTATATATCCAAAAATATTAGTTATATTTAGCTATAATTTTATAACAAATAACAAAAATATCCTAAATAACCTAGATATCGGGAAGTTTTTAGTTATATTTGTTAAAATTATACATATTTTTGGAAAACTTAGCCAAATTTTAGTAAGATTAAACTATTTTTTATTTAAATTGAACATTTTTTTAGTTTTTTTTTTCCAAAAATCAATCCAAAACCGATCCGAAACCGATCCGAATCCGACACTATCCGAACCGAATCCGATCCGAATAGTCATAAAATCCGAACGGATAATAAAATCTCCTATCCGAATTATCCGAATCCGAATAAATCCGAACCGAATCCGATCCGAAATCCGAATGCCCAGGCCTACTCTACATGATCTAGAAAGGTGTAAATCTTACTATCTGTAAACGCTTCCATTCCTTGCATTTCAACCTTTTTGATAGTGTTTCTCTCGATATTGTAGTAGAAAACGTAGAAAGGCCTACCTTCTACCGACTGGAACACAAATTCCTTTGTCTGAGTCATTCCAACACAGCAACACTACGTAAATCGGTGGTTCTCATCATATCATGCAACATCGGCAAAACATTGGGAAAAGTAAAACCGAAAAAGTTTAATACGATGCTAGATAATGGGCTGAAAGAAAGCCCGTTTAGCCCAAAATTCGCAATCTTGTATAAGGCCCTGTTTAAAATTCAAAACATGCCGAAACGGCATCGTTTTATCATTTCTACATTTTTTTCTTCAAAATATAAATCGTTTAATTTTGTGAAAAAACCCTAATCGACGAGACGACGGCTAGTAAGATGAACGACGGCGGAGCTAAACCGGAGACACTGCTTAGGGTTGCAGAAATCGGTGGAAGAGGAAGGAGTTTGGTGGCGGCACAGTCTCTTCGTGCTGGACAAGTTATCCTAAGAGAGTCTCCTCTCCTCCTCTACTCTGCTTTCCCATTTCTCTCCTCCTCTGTTTCTCCTTACTGCGACCATTGTTTCCGGTTATTAGCTTCATCGGCGCATCAGAAATGTCAATCTTGCTCTCTCGTCTCCTTTTGTAGCCCCAATTGCTTCGCCTCTCACACTCCTTGGCTCTGTGAATCTCTTCGCCGGCTTCACCAATCCTCCTCTACATTCTCCGATCAACCTTCTGATCGCCAAGTCCAAGCTCGTTTCCTCCTCTCTGCTTACAACCTCGCCGCTGCTTCTCCTTCTGATTTCCAGATTTTGCTCTCTCTCCAAGGTAGTGGCAGCAGCAATGGAGATCCTTCTTGTTCTTCTGCGACTGATTCTACAGCTGCTGGGTTTCTTCATTCTCTTTTATCAGCCGTGTGTCCACCTCTTCCGGTTCCAATCTCGCCGGAGCTCACGGCGGCTTTACTGTCAAAGGATAAAGTTAATGCCTTTGGTTTGATGGAACCGTTCTCTGTTTCGAAAGAGAAAAGATCGGTTCGAGCTTATGGGATTTATCCGAAGACTTCGTTTTTCAATCATGATTGTCTTCCTAATGCTTGTAGATTCGATTATGTTGACTCTGCTTCTGATGGTAATACTGATATCATCATTAGGATGATTCATGATGTTCCTGAAGGAAGAGAAGTTTGTTTAAGCTACTTCCCTGTGAACATGAACTACTCGAGTAGACAAAAGAGATTGCTTGAGGATTACGGTTTTAAGTGTGACTGTGATCGGTGCAAAGTGGAATCTAGTTGGTCGGAAGGTGAGGAAGATGAGAATGAGGTTATGGAAGAGATGGAGAATGAAGATGAAGAAGAAGAGATGGAGGATTCAGAAGGTGGGAATGTAGAAGAAGTTTGTGGAAATGGTGTGGATGATGAATCTAATTTTCCTCATGCTTACTTTTTCGTGAGATATATGTGTGAGAAGGAGAATTGTTTTGGCACTCTAGCTCCGCTTCCGCCGAAGACTCATGATGCTTCGAGAGTTCTTGAATGTAATGTTTGTGGAAGCCTTAAGGAGGATGAAGTTGGTGGAAATCAATGAGACTCAAACGGGTTCAGTGGTTGATGCAGATAGATCACTTAAACAACAAGAGGTTTGTCTTGACCATGAGCCAATGTTTGTTTCTGTTGGGTTCCTCTACTCAGTTTTAGAAATCGGATTAATCATGCTCAAACTATTCCAATGTAGTTTTTTTCTACTGCTATATCTTCTGAGTGAACTATAATGGCCTGTGGAATTATATAGAAACACAAGTTTTGTTGTGTATCTGGAACAACAGTTTTTGCCTGATTAAAAGAAAAATCATAACTTTTCTCAAAAAAATTTCAGAATCTATTCTTACAAGTGTTTGCTTGGTTGAGCTGAAGAGTGAAGAGCATGGCTTGATGAATCTTAATTTAAAATAAGTCTAGCATCTTGTAATTTCGATTGTTCTCAGCATTCTCGATGCTTGAATGAATAACAACAACTTGCATCCAAAGTTTTTATTAATTAAAATAGGTCTTGTCATTGTTTTAAGTTGTCACGACATTTGAAAGAACAAATGTATTCATCAACTTCGGCCATTGAAAGCTTAAGGATGGAAGAGAGCTTGCATCGAGAGTTACACATAGAGCAAAGTGGTCTACAAACAGAGGTGTTGGATACCACTTCTTCGTTTGAGCTTATTACTGATCCCGGCTTGATATATGAGAAGTCTCCTACAACGCAAGAAATATGTAATGTCGTCCCACAATCATTGCATGTATAGAACCATTCCTTTGGATTCACTTTTGTTTCGCATACTTCGCACCAATAGTCACTATTCACATTCATGTCACCGAAAGACAAGAAGAGAGGATGATCATCGTACCTATTTTTCATTACTTTTGTCGGAAAAAGAGCTCACTTGCCATCCAAAATATAGTCACACTCATCACATCGAAAGAAACAGACGTCCTCGTTCCCACATCGACTACAAGGCTTATAGTCAAATGTACCACAGTAATATAAAGGATGTTGATGGCTTCCGTGCTCAAGTGTATCTAAAACTGCAGCGCATCGTACATCTATAGTAATGCAAGGGGTTGCATACCTGAAACCGGTGAAGTGTTGATTACAAAGCCAACACGGATCAAATTTGTCGTGAGTATCTATGACTAGTGTGAATGGCTGGTTGTCGCACACATGACGTTTCTTCCGTGGATGGTTAGCACATTTTTCATGGAGAATAAAATTACATTGCTCGCAACTGTAGAATGGTTCTGATAAAATCTGGAGAAGACATGCTTCACAAACTATGTTTTCTGGTAAAATCCGGCCATTACCATCCTTGTTGATTTAATTTGTAAGTTATGATCATGGCTGAAATGTTTAATCGTGTTATCATCAATCACCTCGAATGGCGCATTGTCCTCCTCTTCGGGCATCCCTTCCAGCTCTCTCATGTCCCATACATCTTCTCTTGTTGCGCATAGTGAATGAACAGCAAAACTAGGACATTTGACGCAAGTATAAGCCCCGTAGAAGCCATCTACTTTTTTACGGCAAACTTTGCATTTCCACTCTCCATGTCCAAGGCGACGGGTGTAAGAGATGCGGTGATCATGGCGGTTGATGTTTATGACATGGGGTAAATCAATGCACTGCCGATGAATCATCAAATTGCATTGAAGACAGAAATAAGGGCTTCGGTCACCTTGCGTCCCACAAGCATTGCAAGTGAAACTGATGCATCTTGGAACAAGATGAAGCTGATGTTCATGGGTCCTCGGGCTTTCAACATGAACCGGTGGTGAGTTTTTCATACATGGTCTGCATATGCTGACATTACAAACATCACAGTGGTGAAGACGTTTATGTAGTTGATCAAACTTGACCCCGCAAAGAAGGCACATCATGTCGGCGTAAGCGGGTGCGGCTTCAAATGTAAGGAGCTTGAGTGGGTGTTGGGGGTGGGATGTGTGGTTTGCTTCTGGAAAAAACTTGGCACATTCCGTATGGATGACATATTCGCACGAATGACATTCATAACATAGATCATTTTCCAAAACTGGAAACTCGCACGTTTTGCAGCTTCTGAACGGCAACGTAGAGTTCTTTACAACGAAGAGTTCAAGTGGATGCTCGTGGAGATTGGAGTTTTCAAGAACAAGAAGTGGGTCTGACCCCTTGGCACAACATAAATCCAACTTGAAGTCACAGATTGAACATATATAGTTATAGCCGTCTTTAAACATAAGTCTACACTGACTACATGCAGATTCTTCGTCACTTGGGAGCAACTTGAGAGGATGATCAGGATGAGAAGAGTGGTTGATTTCTGGTAAAGACTCAGCACAAGCTTTATGATACACATATTCTGGACATCCGAACTCATAGCAACGGTAGCCTCCGTAAATGTAACCATAAGACCCACACACTTTACATTTGTCCCTAGAAAAACGAGTAAATGGTAACAAAGGATGTTTGTGGATTGGTAGCTCTACTTTTTCCATGGTGATTCTATTTCCAAAATCCAAATCAAGTCTAAGCTCTCTTTTTGTAATGGTTTTTCTTTCTTTTATGTTTATCTTTTGCTCACACTTGCATTAAATTAACTAGGACCATAGAAATGATTCTTATCTCATTGAGTAGGTTGGAGGTATTTGGGCTGCCAATAATTGAGCATTTTAAGTCTCCGAAACCAAAGTTTGACTAATGTATCCATTTCATTGAATAGATAGGTACAAATGATCTCTTGTGCCCATTTGACCAGAGGCTTGGACCAATCCATTTTTCAGAAACATGTTCTTGTTAAGCTCATGCTACTCCCAGTTCAGTTTTATTTTATGCTTGGAAGTAACAGATTCACATAAAGAAAAGGAAGCACAACATAAATCAAACTGTGTTATCTTCAACATCACTGTCCCTTAATTCACCAGAACTAACTCTTGAATCAGCTGCAGCCTGCAGAGACTAGGCTTGGGCCAATCTTTTTTTCATCAGAAATACAAAAAAAAAGTTTTGTTAAGCTCATGCTACTCCCAATTCAGTTTCATGCTTGGAAAGTAATAGATCCTCAAAAAAAAAAACATTAATCAAACTCTGGAATCTTCAACATCACCGTCATCACTTAATTCACCAGAACTAACCTTTCTTGAATCAGCTGCTGAACCGGTAACAGCAAGATCAAACGTGTTCCTAGATTTGCAGCAAACTTAGTGCCCAGGAAAGAATAATCTACCAACACAACAGCATCATACAGAACTCTCCTAAGGCCCACTCGAAAAGGCGTAAATATATGCTGAAGCGAAATGGATCCTAAGCAACCTCATTCACCACATAGGTTCTCAGTTTTCACTATTATATGTAAGCACAACAGAACATGCAAGGTTTCGAAAACTAACCAGAAGATGAGAATGGCGAGGGAGTTTCGGCTCTATGAGCATGCGCACAAGGACATGTGCAGAACAAAAGAGCAAATGAAATGAACATTTCAGAACCTCAGTGACTAAAGACACCAAACAAGCAACTATAAACACCGAACTGGACTGAACTTAGATAGTTACCAAAGAAGTAGGGATTACAAAATGCCGTAATGGATCCTACCGCCGAATTAGTCAATTTTTTCCCTGCATTGCCTCTCATAGAGATTCCTCTAAACTCCAATATCAGTTTCAAGAAATATGCCTCCGCAAGAACAAAACCAGCCAAGTAATTCACACTAGACCTTCTTCATTCATTCTCCTGCAAATATTATCACTAACCAGAGGGAAGTCAAATTATAACTTAATTGGATTTGTCTGTTCTAGTTTAATGTTTCTTCTACCTTATGTCCATTTCCACGTCTAGCTGAGAGAGCGAGCGAGCGAGAAAGAGAGAGAGATGCATTTTTTTAGAATTTAAGTGAAGAAATATCTGTTTCCTTTTGTTCTGAAACATAAGCAATAATGGAAATGATAGAGTTACAAATGAAAATTGCCCATCGCAGCCTCAATATGATTAAAGAGACTGTGGGGAATTTTACTCCATTCGATAGCTTTTAGCGCATTCTGTAGAGTTGGGTCCTTGAGATCTTGCAATGCTGGCCATTCAAAGAATAGTTGAGCTTTATGTCGACATCTCTGGGATTCTTTTTGTTTTGTGCAATTGTCATGCTTCCTGTGATTGTTTCACCCTCGCATATGGTCAACACATCTTCCAAGTACAGCACTGTTTGTTTCCAGTGTGTAGCCCGAGATTTCGGTCCTGCATTGCATGTTGTGATTGTAATGTGAGTTCCAAATATCGACAAAAAAGCTAGCATCAACATATATGTTTGTTGTTTTGGGAAGTGGAAGAACTTTGTAGGAGAAGTGTGAACCTGTTGAGAAACCCATCTTCTTGTGGCACATGGTGAATGATACATCAAAGTAGGCTACAAGGGCATGGATATGGTCATTTCGTTGTGCGACGAGCTTAAATGGAGCTGTGAAGGAAGCATCTCCAGAAGCCATCTTAGAGATATCCATTGTCTTTAGTAAAAAAAAAATGGAATTTACATTAGCTACAGGTAACTAAGGAGATATAAGCAGCTACTCTAGCACAATCTTACTTACCTTCAGCATTTTGCTATCAGTCACGATTTGGTTTCCGTCCACAGTGTCAACAAGCGGTTCCGTAATTGCTTTTCTCTTGATGCACGACATGTCAAACCCATACACGTCGTCCCAAACTATATAGGAAACGACAAGAGGCAAAGAAAATTGAAAAATCAGGCTAGGAAGATAATCGTTAGCAAAAAAGTAAGAGAGGATCTTTCATATTACTCACACTCTACTTTGTCGTCTTTATAATGAGCATCCTCTATGGCCGTAAGATACAGAGAAGCTTTATCCGGTAAAACAATTCCACCATCAACCTAACCAAAAAGAACCAAAAGCACACAAAAATGTTCAAAGCTATGATGAAGCCATGGTCATCATAACTTAAACAAGGCGATATCACTTACAAGCCATTTATCGCGAGCATACAAGACGGTGTCAAGCATATTTTCATACAACAAAAAGTAACCCATCCATTCAGAGATAATCACATCCACTTTAGGAACTGGAAGTTCGATTTCTTCAATCTTCCCTTTCAAAACCGTTATAACTGCCAACAAACCCCAACCACTTGTTTCAGCCAACTACCATCAGATTATAAACCATTTGAACAAAACTCTAAACACATACGTACCATCCGAAAATCCATTGGACTTAACAATCTCCTTTGCGGTATCAGCCATTTGAGAACATTCAACCTATTTAAAAAGTATTCATTTGTCAAATCACATGTATCCAAATCACTCAGAGCAAAAAATTGCGATTAAAGGAGAAGATAAAAAGACATACTGCATAAACATGAGCTGCTCCTGCTTTAGCACAGAACAAAGACAAGATTCCAGTTCCAGCTCCAACATCAAGAACAATCTTGTCCTTGATAAGAAACTTGTTCTTATAAATAACATCTTGATAACACTTTGTCCTCACTACATCTTTTAACATTTCCTAATAATAACAACATCACCATCGAAAACTATTATACATATTGCCTAGGTTTCAGAACAAAGGATTCAAATAAAAAAGCAGGAGTTTTTACTTACTTCATGAATACCTGCAAAAATCAATCAAATGGAAACAGAGTAAGCACTTTGCAGAGAATAAGATAACATGAAGAAAGCAAAAGTGTACAATGAAAGTTCAATGATTTTACCAAAATGAGAGTAAGAGTCGAAGTAGTAATCGGCGCTGGTTATGTCATCAGCAACATCGGCATTGTTGTCACTTCCATCGTACATTGATTCATCAGCATCTTCAAAGCTTAGCTTCGTCTTCTGAGTTTCATCAGAGCCGTTGTTGTTGTTCTCCGTACTTGTCATTTTTTTTGCGGCAAAGAGAGAGGTTTTGGAGGCTAATAGATTCGAATCAGCAAAAAGATTTAGGGTTTTAGGATACGAACTTTATTTGTACGATTCTATTGCAGCCGCCGGTTCAGTTTTGATTGACAGATAAACCGGTTTGGTTTAGACCGATCCGGGTCGGTTATTCTCATAATTATAAGCAGTGTAGATTGAAATATTGGAGGAAAGTTTTTCTGACGCTGTGAGTGGCGAGCACGGCCATAAGGTATGGCTTGCTCACGATCACCGATTCCTTCTTCTTTGATTTCGTTTTAGATTCTGATTTTTGTCTGAAATTCTTCTTCTTCTTTTGGGATTTGGTCTTTATGGGTATAAAGTTTGTTTTTTCTTTGTGTGATTTGAGTCTCAGATCTATTATGTAATCTCTTCACTGGGATAATGCTTATTGGATTTTGAATTGCTTAATTTTTCCACAATTGGGACTCGTTCGATTTGTTATTCTGAAATTGAGAACTAGGGTTTTAGTGATTTAGCTTGATATGTGTGGATTTCATGAAAAGCCTTAATCTTTTGGATGACTTGATTCTGAGATTACATTCTTTCAATTCAGTTTTAAGTATTGGACTTTGTCGTGGAGGTGTGTAATGAATCATGAACTTATATATGGTTGCTTTAGAAACTTTGGAATTGTACTCTGAATTGGTTAAAAACTAAATTTGGTTTTCATGATTTTGAAGGATTTTTGATATTGAGACATGGCATCAAAATTGGTACAACTTCAATCAAAGGCATGTCAGGCTTCAAAGTTTGTGGCCAAGCATGGGAATTCTTACTATAAGCAATTGTTGGAGCAGAACAAGCAATACATTCAAGAGCCTGCAACTGTAGAGAAGTGCAGTGAATTGTCTAAGCAATTGCTCTACACTCGTCTTGCTAGGTCGATACCCTTTTTTCTCTCTTTATCTTATGGACATATTTCCAATGGCCATGCTCAAACTATCTTTTATGTATACTTTTGAACATTAATCTTTAGATAATGCTGAGGAAATGTGCAAGTTGGATTTGCATTACTCGCAAGTAGTTAGCCTTTTTTGCCTTTTAGACTTTGATAGAACTGAAAAGATATGCTTGAGAACTTTGGTGTTATCCTCTAGTAGTTTTTGTGGTCAATGGAATGGAGCTGGTAAATCTCTGGTGACTACGTTAATCTATGTGCCTGTCTTGTTTTTACTGTCTCGATAAGCAACACATTGGGTTTTGCTATCAGTTGAAGAGTTCTGTAATTTGCAATCTTGATTTTGTAGCTAAAACTCTTCTTACTAATTACAGCATTCCCGGGCGCTACGAAACATTTTGGAAAGAAGTAGACTATGCAAAGAACTTATTGAAGAACAGAGCGAATCTGAAGGTGGAAGATGCAGGAATCGCTGCATTGTTTGGCTTAGAATGCTTTGCTTGGTTTTGCGCAGGTGAAATCGTCGGCAGAGGATTCACTTTCACCGGCTACTACCCTTGAAATGAAGACAACAAACAACAATGTCGCCGGAATATTCTTCCTGACGCTTGTAACTCCCCTATATGATTCGTCACTGAACTATATACTTACTTCCTCGAATCTATTTTCAGTCTTTTCCTGAAACAGAAGTTTTGGAGCTAAGGAAAAAAAAACCATTTTGGTAAAAAGCTCTTAATAAGTTGAGACAAATGCATTTGATACAAGATTCTTCTTTTAGATATTTGTAAAATTTTATTCGAAAAGTTTAATATCTGGTTCAATATTTAAAACATTAGAAAACTTTAATTTTTATATTTTAAGTGGTTTTAAATAGCCGAATAACTTTCAAAAAATATGTAGGGATAATTGACAAAAAAAAGGAGTAATTTTGAAAAATTTATAATATTCACAAGAAAGTGATTTTTGAGTAAAAAACTGTTATTTTTATTTTGTTTGAGAAACTGGTATCATAATTTAAGTAAAAATTTAATTATGCAGCTGATAAATTCAAAATATAAATATTTAATACATTTATTTGAGTTGACTCGAGATAAAATATTAATTTAACTCAAATCTCAGCGACAGAATATTCAAAAAATAATAATAAAATTTGGTATGTGCGAGAAAGCAGGAAGACCAATGAGATCTTAAGGAGACCCTATTGGAACTTTAGCCACAATTTCGAAACCTTAGCGAAGAAGACAACAACGATTTACCCTAAAATCCACAAAACATCTACGAGACGACGACGAAGATGATTCGCACTTCTTTGATGCGTTTCGCCGCAGCTTTCTTCGTCATTGTCTTCGTCGTCCTCGTCGATGTCGTTCGCAGCGAGGTTCGATTTGGTTCTGTGTTTTCTCTGTGAATCTTAGTTTCCAAAATTAGACAAAAGGAATCACATTCTTGAAGACATTGAATTAATTGCCAAAATCTGATATTGACAATGATTTTTTGCTAATTTCACTTCACTTATACATGCCTCTTGTGTTTTATTGTTTCTTGCTTGTAATTTCGACTAATGAATTGATTTTTTTTGTTTTGTTGTTGAATCATCAAATTGTGATAGGAGTGTACAAGAAAATGCATTGCACAGAATTGTGACAGTAAGATTACATTTTTCTGAAGTTTCCTTTTGGTTTTTGAGGAACTTTTTTTAGTTTTTTAGCTTACTTACATGTATGTTTGTTTCAGCTCTTTCTATTCGATATGGAAAGTATTGTGGGATTGGACATTCTGGATGTCCTGGTGAGGAGCCTTGTGATGATCTTGATGCTTGTTGTATGGTCCATGACAGTTGTGTTGAGTTACACGGTAATCAATCAAGAACTGAAATTCCCTTACTGTCACTTTTAAGATGCGTTTACACGCAATTGTTAATCACCGTTCTTAGGTGTCTTGCGGGGATTGGGATGTAGTTTTGGTATTATTATCATCTAGAAAAGTTGACATTGGCCAAAATTGGGTTTAGTTTTGTAACCCGGGAGAAGAATGAGATGCCCATTAGGCATCTGTAAATAGAGTAAGATAAACTGAAATTAACATCTGTAACTACAGATTTAGTATGAATGTATCTTGGCTTGATTAGTCCTTGGATTTGAGAATGGTCTGTCCGGTTTCTCTACACAAATTGTGTAATGCAGAGTGCTAAGATCTCGAGTATGATAATCTCTTAAGGCCATCAGGCTCAGATGATCATAAGTAACTCTGCTGCTTTGATCCATTGTTCTTAAGCTATAGTTTCACGGATTCAAATGCTAAACTTTTGGTCTTGAGTTAACACGCTTACGATGAAATAATCGCTTATTTGTTTCCTATCTGCAGGTATGACTAACATAAGCTGTCATAAGAAGTTCCAGCGATGCGTAAACAGGCTAAGCAAAGCGATAAAACAGTCTAAAAACAAAAAGGTCGGCTTTTCCACAAAGTGCCCTTATTCAGTAGTCATACCTACGGTGAATCAAGGAATGGATATCGGCATCTTATTCAGTCAATTAGGTAATGATATGAAAATAGAGCTCTGAGTTTTGCTGGTCATATACTCTGCACTTCTTTCAGGCATCACATTGGTGTTGTAACTAAAGCTTACCTCAGATTTTTTTTTACTGATTGATGATCACCTTAATTATTGCAATTGCAAGTCGCTGATAGATTACATGTATGAAGCAATGGCACTACGTGTATCTGTACTATACACAATGCAAGTTTTGATCGGAAACTCTTCTCTATTCTTATGTTACATCATATCTCGATCTCAAATTATGAATCATGATCAACCAAAGAAAGTGGGAAAAACATTAGTTACAAATAGATTATCATTAGATTTGTTTAAGTCACTATTTGTCACTATTCAACTTCTTTATATAATCTCTGTTGTAATTGTTCTTGGTTATGTTTTATCCATCCATCAATGGCATTATGCAATGCAAGTTTGTTTATTTTAATTCACCATTGCAAACCTAAAACGTATAAAAAAACTATAGATGAAAAGTGAAACTAGAATTAAACCGTAATTAACACAAAACATATTCATGTCAAAAACAAACACACAACTTAATTTCTCCTAATAATAATGGAAGAGCTATTCTGTTATGGACGAAGATTTGAAACTAGGGTTTGGTGAGTCGTCTTCTGTCTCCATCATCTCAGCCTCAGCTATGATTTTATCGACGAGTAAGGTTGAAGAAGAAGTAGGGTTTTGCGTCACGGGATCAGCGCCAATGTCAAGGAGCGATAAAGAAGTAGAAGCCGCATTAAGATTTTGTGTCACCACCGAAGACATTGTTCCCATCTTTGCACGTTCTTCTACTTCTTCATCAAACAACATAACCGCGACTTTCGCCAATGCATAGAGCTTCGACCACATCTTGTCATCGTCGTATGTTGTCATTGTGATCGGACCTAAACTCAGAGTTCTGAAAGCGTGGGTAAGAAGGCAATTATAGAGAAAAAAAGTGAATGAGAATGAGAAAGAAAAGTGCCTTTGTTTACTATATGTAATAGTCTGATACACAATCAGGTGTCTCCACCCTAAAAAGTAAAACCTAGCCAAATACATTATTTACTTTTCTTTTTCCCTTTTTCCTTTTTTTCCCTTTTAATTAGCTTAGCACAAAAGATTAACTATTGTAATTAGACATTAATTAATTATTTATTCCAAAAAATAAACAAGACAGTACTTTTCTTTCTTTCTTTTTTGGTGCAAATAATCTTTGTTAGGTGCAAATAAAGCAACATTCAATTCGTTTTGTCCATAAACCCAAAAAAAAACCCATCCGTATTAGTGAACAATTAGGATCTTAACGTACCAAAAGTCAGTCCAAAGCAAACAAAAAATTGATTTAACCTTTTACCAAAAAAAAACAAAAAATTGCAAATGGGAAATTTTAAAATAATCTTGTGCATTTTCCAATAAATCATATATAAAAGGAATAATAATTAATTAGATTGAAAAGTCAGTCCACGGTATGTATCTGTTTCGTGGAACGTGCACCGTTACACAGAGGATCCTTCCTTTTTTTTCTTTTTCTTTTTAAACTCTTTCTTAATTTATTTGTTTAAAATAAATTACAGTTTTAATCGTTTTTCTCTTTACACGTCAATGAAAACATATATAAAGGGCTTTCGCAGAGTCCAACCTATATTTATTTTTAATACTTTTTTAATATATGCTTATTCTTCTTCTTCTTCGTCTTCTCTAAATCAATTTTACGTTTCTTCTAGGTCCCCGCGAAAAATTCCATTCTTCAGATCATAGATTTGTATCTGATCTTCATAACAAGCCAAAAAAAACCCTAATTTATTCCTCTAGTTTTTTTTTTACGCTGATTCGATCAATTTCCGATTTTGTTTTGCTAAATTTCGTGTCCATGAAGAAGGTTCTTCAACGAGGTTTTAAGCCTGCTAAATGGTAATAAATACGATTCTGGGTTTTTCCTTTTTCTTCCTATTCTTCTGTGTTTCTATTTATGATCGAACCTTCTTTTTTTGTTTTAGATAAAGAAAAAAAATCTCAACTTTGGATTATACTGTTTCATCCGTTGTTTTTTGATTTGTTGTATTGATTTTATATAATGCAGCAAAACAGCTTTGCAAATGGCGAATTCACGCCTCAAGATACTCAAGAACAAAAAGGAGATTCAGATTAAACAGTTGAGGAGAGAATTAGCTCAATTGCTTGAATCTGGACACACCCCTACTGCTAGAATTCGGGTAACTAATTCTTGTTTCTGTGATAACCAAACATTGTATATTTGGGAATTTTTAGTATTAGAATCTGAGTTTCACTTGTTTGTTGCTAAAATTGGGAATGTGGTTATGTTTTTATCTCAGGTGGAACATGTGGTCAGGGAGGAGAAGACAGTGGCTGCTTATGAGCTCATTGGAATATACTGTGAACTTCTTGTTGTTCGTTTGGGTGTTATTGAATCACAGAAGTAAGAAAGATTTTCCCTTTATACATTTTGACACTCCTTATTGCTGTTGTTCTTGTTGTTATATTCTATTGTATAATGTACTGATTGTTGTGATGTTATTTCAGAAACTGCCCTATTGATCTGAAAGAAGCTGTCACAAGTGTCTTGTTTGCTTCACAGAGGTTATCAGATGTTCCAGAGCTCTCAGAGATCTTTAAGCAATTCACAACCAAGTATGGGAAGGATTTTTCTACGGCGGCTATTGAGTTGCGTCCTGATTCTGGTGTTAGTCGCCTGGTAAGTGGCTGTGTTTCTTAATCTATGATGGTGATTTTGTTGTATTAAGAACCCTTCTTGATTATCATTGTTGTTTTTTCTAGTTGGTGGAAAAATTGTCTGCCAAAGCCCCTGATGGTCCGACAAAGGTCAAAATTTTGATGGCAATCGCTGAGGAACATAATGTCGTCTGGGAGGCGAAATCTTTCGTTGAATCAGATCCAAAAGACACTGAGCTGTTGGTAAGTAACAACAACATTTCAGAGTAAAGGCATCAATTGTTATATCTACTCGTTAATGTTAAACATAACTTTTACTGTGCTTCTGTTTTAGAGTGGAGCAAACTCGTTTCAGCCAGCGAGTAGTATGAACATGGATTCATCTATAAACTCAAACAAGGAACAGCCTCCAAACGTCCAAGCTCCAGCTACTGTCAATGCTTATCATGGATCAAGTGAAAGAAATCATAACTCTTATGCAAATGGGGGAAGATCTTCAAGCCGTAGCAACAATGTTACTTCTGGGAATGCTTATGACTACTATCATTCAAATGCGAGACCTTCTCGTAAGTGGTTTTCTTCTGCGATTTCTGTATTTTTTGTGATTAAATCATTTAACGGAGTTGTTATGTTTGACAGGATCTAGGCCTGATGAAGGAGAATGTAGAAATCCAAATCATGGCTATGCAAATTCATCTTCAAGAACTAAGAATAAGCGGGAAACAGAATTTGTTAGTTCCACAGATGCTGCTGAAGCTGCCGCTGAAGCTGCTGAAAGAGCAAGTTTCGCTGCTAGAGCAGCTGCCGAACTTTCGAACAAAGAAAGGATGATGAGGCAGGATTCAACAGAGTCGCATATATCTTCAGCATCTGTAAATCTCAGAAACGAGCCTTCACATCGACGTAACCGATCGAATGCACAAAGTGAAAGTTATTCTGAAGATCATTTTTCGCCTAGACGAAATGTTGGGATGCAGTATAAAGATATGGACAGAACCCGGCAAGATAGATATGATAGGGCAGAGGAATCTGAGATTCCTCCTGTAGATCAGCCATCAGGAAGACATTCCCTGGATAACTCTAGAAATAGTGGTTCCTTTGGTAAAAAAGGTAGAGAGAAGCAGCCAAGCCAGGATGAGCCGGATTTAAATGTTGGTTACTCAGAAGATGTTCACCTCAGGAAGCAGTCAAGCCGGGCTTCATCACATTCACATTCAAGCAATTATTCTGAGGAGAATGACCTTGGCTCAGATTATATGAAGTCACCGAGCATCGTGGAGGAAAACATATTTGCCACTGAATATGATCACCAATCTCAGAGCAGCTTTAAAGATATAGATTCCCATGATCATAGACATGATGATGATGCTGCAGCTGCTGATACTTATGATGACTATAGTTCATTTTTTGATCAACCTAAATTTGATGCGGATGATAATCATTATCAAGATGAAATTGATCATGGTGTAGGATTCTCATTGCTTGGCAGCAAAACATCTGCTTCAGCGGCTTCGTGGAGCTTCAAAGGAGATCTTAGTAAGTCCTCATATGGAAAACACAGCAGTTCGAGCTCACAAGTTTTCCAAGAGAACCCAAGTTCCCCATTATTTGATGATGTCTCTACAAGTCCTCCGGCATCTTACCACGAGCCTGACCCACATGCCAAGTTTGACAATTATGGTCCAAATTCAGAAAGCGACGGCGATCAGCCAAGACATAGAGGCAAAGTTTCTGGAGATGTACATGAGAAGGGGATTCTGACATCTGATCGATCTCAGAAATTTAAAGTCTCTGATTCTGACGGACATGAATTTTTCCCTTTAGACAGAGAGGAACACAAAGATAATTTGAGGACACAGGAAGAATCAGATTCAGAGTCAGAGCCTCATCTTGGTCTGAGGCTTGGAAATTTGGGCGGTGGATTTAGGAACAAAAAGACACTCCCACCCTACACAATGAGTTTGGCATCGTCCAAGTCTGAAAAGGAATATATCCAAACCGATGATTTTGGTCAGTCTAGCAGAAAAGATCTTTACAGTAAGAAAGCAAGCAACACCGAGATGAGACCTAGTTTTATGCCTCCTCATCCATCTTCTAGTGATGAAGACGACTCAGACATGCAACTTCCAGTAAGAACAAAAACAAAATCTGATTCCTTATTTAGTCATGCTCGTGTCAACCTTGAAGACTCGGATGAAGAAAAACTCTCAACTCGATCTTCTTCAAGAAGTCAAGAGAGGAGTCGTAAGCCATCAACGGGAATGAGAGATCACAAGAGAACAAACTTCAAGATGCCAGTTTCATCATCGTCTGAAGATGAGGAAGAAGTCGAAAGAGAGGCTGCACGCATCAATGCCAAGCCAAATAAAACAACCGGGTACGGATTCTCTCTAAGGACAAAGGGCCAAACGAAAGCTTATGAGAAACATTCTTTACCAGTGACAACGAAGAAAACCGACAAAGAGTCTCATGATCAGCCATCTCCAAGGCACAAGACAGTAACTTCGAGCCCTGTTCCACAAACTGTAAAATCACCCGATCCAGAAACCCCATCAAGGGAGAGAGCTAGTCACGTTCATCCCAACCTCCCAGAATATGACGATATCTTTGCGAGGCTCGGGGCCCTTCGTGCTCCTAATCGACGCTGAGTATGCTCATCTTGTCCGTCTGTTCATACATTTATTCTTTGCCACAGAGACCAGTCCCCCTGATTCTTTACGCTGACTGAATTTGATATTCTTACACATTATACATATTGAAGCAGTGGTGTGATTCTGCTAGGTCGTGATTGGTGTTCCTTGTCTATTTTATTTTTTGGTGTGGATACATAGAATAGGAAATAACTATTTGCGAAGATAAAGATTTTATAATAACATTCGAAATGTTGTCACTTGTCACAATAGAAACAAATTTTGTTCTCTAATTTCCAATTTGCTCAAACTGCAGTACAAGAAACAAACAAACACAATGTCCAAAAAGCCAGACAGATGACATGTTGTGGCAGGATTTTGACATATCAAAGTCCCTCCATGAGAGTTTTCTTTTCGTATTTGATCAGTTCAATGAAAGAAGCCAAGAACCTGACCACCCACATTCCGTTTAATAGCTTCTTCATGGTCCAAAATGCCATCAGGAGTTGTAATCACAACATAACCCCACTGCATAATAACAAATCAAAGAAGGTTTAAGTAACTGCTACGATTAGTTGCATATTCAAAAGTCGAGTAAAACCGGACCTGGCGTGTTGGAAGTGTGCGTTCTGTGTATTGCCCGATTTCGTTTGCCTTGAGGTCTTGCCTATAAGTAAGAGCTTTGCAATCATTAACCCTTCCTTGTAGGTCAACAGTTATTCTTCCAACTCTGTGTGGATCATAGACTTGAAAGTTCTTGATGTACCCTGTACATCAACATACATCAAGTTAAGTAAGAGACAAAAAACTACCCAATTCTGAGATTTGAGCATATGAATGGTATCTTTAAACTTGAGTCACAAACTATCAACTTTGAAAAGAACTAGTTCAAATTCCTAACACAAACGAAGATCGAAACAAACTTATAAACTTGGAAACAGGAGCAGATATGCGTTTCTCCAACCATAGATCAAGATGTGAATTATCCATAAGAATCATAAACAGAAACTTTTCAATCTTCTGCAACTTCTTAGTCAACCAAGAACAAAGGCTTAATCTTTATACAATGCAATGCTTGAGCTATACATGTTAGGATCAGTTTCAAGGACCAACAATAGAGACTATAGATAATTAATCATACAGAAACAAAATCACATAACTAGATACATACTGACCAAATGTGACTGAAACCAATGTCGACGAAACTGATAAATCTAAACAAGTAGATGACAAATTTGGGAAATGAATTAGGACCCAATTGGACCAGAAGCAAGCAGAAGTTAAAAAATGTGACCTTTCTCCTTCATGATTTTGAGAAACGAAGACATAACGGTAGAGACAGGCTTCAACTCCACCGAAGCTTTCCCTCGCTTCTCAGCATTCACAATCGTTCTCAACGCATCGTTCAATATTCTCCTCCCCATTGATCGAAATTTCCAATTTCTAATAAACAAATTCGACAATGGAATCAGAGGATCTAAAACCCTTAGAGCATGATTATAGGTAGTCTCTTAGAAAATAATCTTAGCAATATTTAAGTAATTTATTTGTAAAAGTGATTGTTAAGAGATTGTATTTTTGAGTTAAGATTTTTGTGTGATTAATGGTAGGCTCTTAACATGTGGTTCTTAGAAAAAAAATATTAATATAAAAATAAAAATTTATAATTATAGAAAATTTAATAATTGTTGCAAATTAAAAAAAAATTAAAACATACATGAGATACAATTAATTAAAAAAGAAATAAAATTAACAATTTTAAGTCATGAACCTCATTTGAGGTTTTTAAAAATTTAAATTTTTGAAAATTTGTGTTTTAAGTGTTATTGAAACACTTGATCAAATTTATGTGTTTTGGTTTATGTGTTTTGGTTTTGTGGAGAAAAAAAAGATATGGTTTTGGTTTATGTGTATTGGTTTTGTGGAAAAAACAAAGAGTTTTGGTTTATGTGTTTTAGTTTTGTGTAGAAAACAAAGATATGGTTTTAAGTGATTCGTCTTTTGAAATTAAAAGAGTGAGTAGTAGGTTAAAGTTGACAAACGTCATGAAAAAATGAACTTGTAGCAACAGAACATTGGTAAACATTTATTACATCATTCAAAATGGTCTGAGAACAAAGAAAAGCAACAAACATAGCCTCGAATCCAAAAAACAGGTGTTAAATCTTTAGCTTTTCAAGACAGAGTTTGACAAATGTTTCTTCCCACTAGTCAATTGAGCTCCACCAGTTGCAGTCTCATTAGCTCCAACAGTTAGCTTAACATATCTAGATAACAAACAAATGGAGCTCAGTAACTTCCACAAAACATCACAACCAGAAAGTAGTCACAAAGTTTAGATTACCCTAGACCAAACCATCACCATTTAAGGCTTTGGTTTTATTTTCGTCTTGATCATGTTCCTTTTCATCTATAATGGAGCTTTAATTGGTAAAGAATAGAAAGCAATGGAGCTTTTCATCTACAATGAAATAAATAAATGGGTATTACAAGTTTAAAAACCAATGGTTTCATCAATTTCTCAATCTTCTATGTCAACACCACCATCGTTTTCCTCGACCAGTCTAGTTTATATAAGCTGAAACCAAACAATGCAAGAATTATTCATGAATTCGAAAGCAAATTAAAACCGACACAATATTACTGATAAGCTTCTCACAATCTTCAAAGAAGAGAATAACAACCTCAGCCACAAAATCAGGACTACATTCATCTTGCAGCTTTTTCAATTCAGTGAATTGATCATCCAAAAACCCCTTCACAAAACCAAAACTCAAGAATCTCGGAAAACCCATTTCACAAATACTAAACCCAATTCTTAAAATCCCCAATTCCCAAATATATAAGCTTCAATAAGAACCCTTAAACAGTAGAGACTAGAGATTTATCCCTAAAAAAGAGACCATAACCCATGACACTAACACTAAACCCAATTCTTAAAGTCCCCAATTTCCAATACATAAGCTTCAATCATACCTTGAAATACCGATTGGTGCTCGCATGACTCCGATTTCGCAAGCCAACCTCGCCGATTTGGTGAACCGAAGACGCCGTGGACAACCGGAGTCGGTGGAGATGATGAGCTGACGGTGGAAACTGAGAGATTCCGATTTGGTTACCCAAAGTCACCGTTGAGTCCTGGCGTCATTGTAGATGAAGAGATAACGGCGGATCAAACAACCGGAGGTCCGATTGCTTCCGATTTGAGACAAATTTCCTCTGGTTTTGGAGTCGGAGAGAAACGCATAAGAGAGAGAGGACCGACACGTCACCACCTCTTAACTGTAGAAAATGTTCCTTAACTAAGAGCGTTCCTTAGTTGTTATCACATTTTCTGATTTAAATTAAATCAATCTCAACCTAAGATTCAGCTAAGATTCACTAAGGACTCCCCGTTAATCATGCTCTTAGAGCATGCACATAGTTGATACTCTATGAGTATCATTAACAATTTTTTTAGTATTAATTTTAATATTTGTTTATTATTTGAGATTTTTTATGATACTGGTAATAAATCTGTTTTTAGTGGTGATACCGGTATCAGTATCACTAATTAAAAAAAAATATTTGCAATATCGAAAATAAATATATAAAAACATAAGATTACAAAAGATAATATTACAATCCATAAAAACGTACAATATACTTAAGCAAAAAAAAAAACGTAAAATTAAAAAAATATTAAGGGGGGTGTATTGGACTTAGTATTTTAGGAGATTTGCTGGAATTTATAAATTTTAAATTTTTGAGGGATTTGAGCAAGTTTTTAGGGGATTTAGTTATTTGTTAGAGTTTTTATATTTGAAAAGTAAAAAGATTGGTGATTTGGTGAAATTTATAATTAAATTTTGGGTGATTTTAGAAACAAAAGAAAAGGAGCAGATGAGTTTAACCAAAAACAGAAGTAAGAACACACATAAACTGCTTTTGTAAACAAGAACAACATATAAGACATAAAACAACCATTTTCTATGTTTAGAGGATGCATAAAATAAAAAAGTGACGACATGAAATAAATAACTATTGGTAGTCGCAAAATCTACAAACATCCACTCTTTCTCTATAAACAAAACGCTTCCTGAATTACATGCAGCAAAGTTTTAATTTAACCACATGCATTAAACCAAGAACCATGCTACTGAAAATTCTTCAGAGATTCAGCTAGAAAGAATAATGACAGTATCCATCCCAAGGGACCTTTTTGACAGTATCCATCACAAGTAAATAAAGTGCATGCAAACTTCTTAGTAGATGACTTCTCTGATGAAGGTCTAAAAGAAGAGTGTTTCACCTCTCTGCAAACTCAATCCCTGCTTCACCGGGCCTTATGGTAATAGCTCAGCAAAGATACAGCCTGCAGCCCAGACATCAACTCCTGCTCCATGCTGTCGACTACCAAACATTAACAATAGACCTAATGATACCAGCAACAGCTCTCTCAGAGTAATGACCTTGAGCTATAATCCTATCAAACAACTCACCACCAGCACACAACTCCATAACCAAATGCACAGATTGTCTATCTTCATAAGCACCTTTAATCTCAACAATATTTGGTTGTCCAGACAAATAATGCTTTATTTAAATCTCTCTCTTCACATCTTCTTTATCTTGTTTACTAATTAACTTCCTCTCAAGAATCGATTTGCAAGCATAAGTGTTCCCAGTTCCAATCTATTTACACATATACGTAATCCCAAATTTACCTCGACCTAATTATTTTTCCAATCTGTAAAATTTTCTGATGTCTTCGAATGGTTTACCTAAAATCGTATGTGGATCTCGAACTGACATTGGGTTTGAAGACGGCGTTGAAATCTGTTGAAGGATTGCTTGTTTCATGGGTTTGGGTGTTAGGATTTGATGTTTACGATGCTCAGGGACTTGATTAACGACATGGGTTTGAACTGGATTGATCGGAATTGTTCTTTCTCCGCCGTCGTTTTGAGTTTTCCGGTGTTTACTACTGAAGTAACCCATTAATAAAGGAGGAGACTTTCGTTATTGGGTTGAAGAAAGAGATGAGCTTGAAGGATGATTGAAAGAGAGAAACCCAGATCCGGAGATTTTTTTTTGAATCAACAGAGAAGAAGAAGGAGAGGAGAGAAGAGAAGAAGCCCTTTTTTTTTGTTCTTCGTCGCAACAGAGAAGAAGAAGAAGTAAATGAGTTTTGTTTTGTTTTTCTCTGTTTTCACGGTCCAATGACGTTTCGCCACGTCACACCAAAATGGGTATCACAAGTATCAGTCCACTGATACGTATCAGGGCCAATTATGTTATTTGATCCATTATAAAATAGTTTATGGGCTGATGATACTCAGAAAAATTCACCAGTGTACATGGTCTTAACTTCAATAGAACAACAGAGCAAATGGGTTTATTTTCAACGTTTCTCAGAATTGTGGCAATTGAGATATTCTTATAATCTTTAGGGGTATTTTAGACTTTACACCTAATATTACATGAACTAGGGTTTTGTTATTCAGAGGTCACATATAAATAGCTCCCATCGTCTTCTCACAGAGCTCCGGCGCCACCATTAAAATCCGAGTCTCTCTATCTCTCACTCTCTGCTAATTTCACGGTAAGCGTAGATCCACTCTCAATTGTTCTGGTTTAGTAGTAGCCTTTAGGGCTCGATCTGTTTATGTCTGTGTTGTTGATTAGTATCCATTTGTTTTGGTTTGGTTGGTGTGGTGAAGGTAGGTATTTGAAATGGCGACAGTTCCAGGACAATTGATCTGGGAGATCGTGAAGAACAACAACTGTTTCTTGGTGAAACAGTTCGGTAGAGGAAACTCTAAGGTTCTTTTCAGCAAGGAGACCAACAATCTCGCCAACGTTCACTCCTACAAGCACTCTGGTAAAAATTTGCACTCTTGTTTCCAAGTTTTGTTGCTTCTGAACAAAATGATGTCTTTGCTAACTGTGAACATATGGGTTACCGTATATGTTTGGTTGATTGATTGAGTAGATTGGATTGTGGATTAAAGTTGTTAAGAAATGTTGAAACTTTGGTGCTTTTGGGTGTACGAAAGAGTGTGGTTTCTCGAATATAAGATTAGTGTGGTTGAAATTTGGCTGTTTGAGATCGTCTTATATGCACTATCTCGAATGTCTATGTGTCTGGATTTTGAATATAAGATCAGAAGTTGACTGTGAAATGTAGTTACTTTACTTCTCTGGTTAATTAGAATCTGGTATTGTATTGAAATTGAAGTCTGTCAAGAAGTTTCAAGTTTCGTATGTAATGATTTGTAATAGATTTGTGTCTTGATTTTGAATACAATATTGAATTTTACTGGTTGAATCTAGGCTAAAGTTTGAATCTTTCAATGTGGATTCAGGTCTTGCAAACAAAAAGACTGTGACCATCCAGGCCGCTGACAAGGAACAAGCTGTTGTGCTTGCCACCACCAAGACCAAGAAGCAGAACAAGCCTAAGCTCTCTGTTAACAAGTCTATCCTCAAGAAGGAATTCCCAAGGATGTCCAAGGCTGTTGCTAACCAGGTATTACTCTAATTTTAGTATCAGTGTTTGTTTCTATGTCTATGGTGTGCTTATAGGTCTCTATATCTAGTTATGTGTGTTATTTTCACGGCTATGATGTACAATTGGTTATTATGTTCTTACTCTACTTGTGAGTGGAGAGTTCATGTATAAATCTGTGGTAAAATGGCATGATGAATAGAAGTTAGGATACTTTCTCTGATCAATGCTAAATTTGTATTTGACTCTTTGCTTCTTGGATGAAATATTTATTCAGACACTTCACTTTTTTTCATTGATCTGCATGATATTTATGTTTATGTTCAACTTTTCTGTGTGGCCTCATCTGCTATATTTCGTTGTACTTCTATGGCTGTGACATGTATCTAAACCAATTGTTTTATAAAATTGGTAGGTGGTTGACAACTACTACAGGCCAGACTTGAAGAAAGCTGCACTTGCTAGACTCAGCGTCATCAGCAAAGGTCTTAGGGTTGCTAAGTCCGGTGCCAAGCAAAGAAACAGACAAGCTTAAGCTTCTTATTTCACTATGTGTTTTTTGAAGTAAAAGATTTTGTTGAACAGGTTTTATTTAAGTTATTGCTTGAAGTTGAACTATAACGCTCCTTTTCCTTATCCTATTCGAAAGGAGTTAGAAGTTTTTCTTATTATGCTTATGTTTCTGTTGTGCTTGTGTTACATTTTGTTAGATCCTTTTATTATCAAACCATAAGTAATCAAAAACAAAGTTCTTATTTATGATCTTTAAAAGCCTAAATTGAGGATGAATGTGAAGTAGCACAAAAACATTACTATATAGTTTTATAGGTTGAAGAAAATACTTAACTCCAGTAGCCGATACTTGGAAACAGGAGAAAAACTTCCAAATCACAAAACATAGTTGCATCATCAATTTTTTAGATCACATCAAAAACAAAACTTGAGATTTGAGTTTGACCATCTTACTGTACGCTGGACTTATCCAGAAGCCCATCAGGCCCATAATCGGCCCAAATTATAACATACGGAAAGGTTTTTATTAGGGTTTCTTAGACCTTGATCAATTTTGTTCTCTTGCTGTGCCGTCGTCTCCAACTCCATTTCGAAGAGAGAGACCGAGGCAGAGATCGAAGCAAAATGGAGAAAGGGAAGGGAAGAAAGGAGGAGGTCGTTACCAGGGAGTACACTATCAATCTCCACAGGCGTCTCCATAGCTGGTAAAAACCTAAACTCCAATACCTTTGCTCTCGTTTCCCTTTTGGTTAAGTTCCTTCTGAGGTTTAGACTGAGAATTGCAACTTGAATTGATTCGAATTAGGTTTCTTGATGAGTGAAGAGTTTGAATTCTGGAATCTTTGTTGGAAATTTTGACATCCATTGTTTGTAGAAGAAGAAGATTAGTCTTAGGATTAGTAATGATCATAAACATCTCCTAGTTATTGTTGATTTTCATGGCTCGTTGCATCTTTCTAAAAAGATTGAGAAATTGGATTCCTTTTATTGTACAGAATGGTTTTAGAAATGCTGAGTTTTTAAACGGATTTTGATCGTTTATAAAATGAACAGCACATTCAAGAAGAAGGCACCCAATGCCATTAAAGAGATCAGGAAGTTTGCATTGAAAGCAATGGGAACAAAGGATGTTAGAGTTGATGTTAAACTCAACAAGCAGATATGGAGCAAAGGTATCCGAGGTCCTCCGAGGAGAATCAGAGTCCGTGTTGCCCGTAAGAGGAACGATGATGAAGATGCCAAGGAAGAGTTTTTCTCTCTCGTCACTGTCGCTGAGATTCCAGCTGAAGGATTGTCTGGTTTGGGTACTAAGGTCATTGAAGAAGAGGAGTGAAAATTGGTGAATGTACTCAGTACTCACACAATCCTTATCTTTAGATGAAAGACAAAACAGAAAAAGACTTTGCTTGTTTTGATCACTTACCTATTTTGGTCATTTATTATTTCTTATGTTCTAAGTTTAATAGACAACAGATTTGGTACTAGTGATACAAGTTTGATCTTTTTGTGACGTTCTTTGGCATTTCGCAATAGGCCTGGACGTTCGGATATTCGAGTCGAGTTTTTCGGGTTCGGGTTTTTCGGGTTTAGAAAACTAAGACCCGTTCGGGTATTTTAAAACTTTGGGTTCAGATCGGGTATTTCGGGTTTGGATTCGGGTTTATCCGAAGTATCCAAATATTTAAAAATTTGTATCCGATTCTATGAAAAGTATTGAAAATACTCAGAAAATCTATAAATTTTAAGTATTTTATATCCTAATCTAACCAAAAGTAGCTAAAACACCCGAAAATATCTTAGCATCCGAATAATTTAGACACTTAGACTATTACAAGTATAAATATTACTAATATATTATAGCTATGTATTTATATTTCGGATATGTTCGGGTACTTGTTCGGGTTCGAGTTCGGGTCGGATTCGGGTTCGGGTTTTCGGGTTGTGAAGTTTAGAACCCGTTCGGGTATTTTAAAACTTCGGGTTCGGGTTCGGGTCGGGTTTTTCAGGTCGGGTTCGGTTCGGTTCTTCGGGTTCGGGTATTATGCCCAGGCCTATTTCGCAATAATCTTTGTGAGTCTGTACCAGACCGGTTTACTTATGGGTTGATGTCTAACCATTTGGTTTGATACGGTTTTGACTCTTGAATTTGAGTAGTACCTTAATTGTGGATTAATCCCACATCGGTGGAGTTTATCATAACTTAACTGCTAAAAGGGTAGATAATCCAAAAGTCCATTTAAAATCAAAGGTATTACACATTTTGAAGGAGAAAATAATTACTTATGTTCTTTGTTCTAAATCAAATTAATCCGTAACTTTTGATTGAAACTTGAAACCAAAACCAATCTCATAAATAATTACTTATGTTCAATGTGTTGAAACTTGAAACCAAAACCAAATTCATAAAGAAAGTTACTCAAAAACTAAATTTTAATTTTAAAAGTATTGAAAGTGAAAACTATAAATTATGATGACAAAAAGAAATAATTTTAGTCACTGTTTTGGTGTTATACACCATTGGTTTTTAAGGCCCATTTAAAACCCAATATGCCCCATTTAAAACCCAATACGGCCCATTAAAGAGGACCCTAATATAAATGACTGTAAATTCCGAAACCCTAAAAAGCTAGCTATCGAGCATTGTCGTCTCCAACAGCCAAAAGAGCAGAAGCTTGAAGAATCTCTGTAATCTAAAAAATGGGTGATGTTCCTTGACTTTTTTGTTTCCTCATACTTCTATCTGTTGCTGATTCTTCTTCCACAATGTTGCTGATGTTAATTTTTGTCTTTGAATGCTTGTAATCAATGTCGCAGGAAAGGTCCACGGTTCATTGGCTCGTGCCGGTAAGGTGAGAGGTCAGACACCCAAAGTGGCTAAGCAAGACAAGAAGAAGAAGCCTCGTGGTCGTGCTCACAAGCGTCTGCAACACAACCGCCGTTTCGTTACCGCCGGTAAATACCCTTTGCTTTGAAATTCCCGGTATAGGATTCTTAGATCGATTGATCCATCTCGTAATTTGATAATTTCTAAGTCTGAGATCGCTCTCCTTAGTTGAATTAGGGTTTTATTCATCGTAGGACGGCCTGTGATTAGACATCACTGAATCAGTATTTGGATTATTTTGCTTTCTGTGAATCGCCTTGACATTAGTGCATAAATATAGTGTGCCTTGATCATATTTTTAGATGCTAAGTATGCTATTGTGGTTTGATATACAAGTCTAGTTCATATTCAGTTTCTTAGAAACGGTTTAATTCAATCTATAGAGTAGATGATAAACATGACTGTGATCATCATTTCTGCTCTAAGTTCTTTAGAAAATCCTGTTCTTTTTCCTGGGTTCTTTATGAGATTGCAGAAGTTTGTTTTAGAGGAATGAACAACTATTGAATCTTATTTGCTTTTGTTTAATGTTTGTTTTTTCAGTTGTTGGTTTTGGCAAGAAGAGAGGACCAAACTCATCAGAGAAGTAGACAAAAAAAGGTTTTACTCTTTCAGATTTTATGGGATGTTTTTGATATTGTGCCATTAGTTGGTACAAACTCATCAATATCCAAGTGGTTTAACTTTCGTTATCTACAAATCAGTGGATGTTATGTCAATTTGATTTGTGTTTCTCCCCGGATTAGACATAAGTTCTTGGATTATTGTCATATACAATGGAATCTTAAGGAATTTGCTTCTTTTTTTTCCTGGAACTTTATTTCCTTGCCTTGAATCCAAATAATTCTCACTTTCCTTAAACATGTGAAGCCAACATTGAACTTCTCTTTTTCAGTTAGATATTTTCACAAGGTTAAGAAGTAGTTAAGTTCTGAATTAGAGATGAAAGATCTAGGAGCTGTAAAGAAGATCCTTGGTATGAATATTGAGAGAGAGATGGACTTTAACATTGTATCAGGTGTAGTATTTCAAAAAAGTCTTATTTTGCAATGGAGGAAGCTAAAGTTGTGCAAACTTTACTTGATGTCAAAAAAAGAAAAATGATGTGCAGACTTTACTCAGAGAACCTATTAATATGCATAGGGAGTCAATATTGCTTATGCAAATGTCGTTGGTAGTTTAATGTACAATATTATTGGACTGAGATCAAACCTAGCTTACTTAGTGGAAATACATCAAGGAACAACAGGTTCATGGCCATCGGAAAAGCTATCTATAGAGCACTGAAAAGCTGTCAAATGGATGCTGGAATATACATCACGGAACAATTGGTCTGAAACTCTGTTTTTTTTTTTTTTTTTGAGCCATTATAATCCACTCTAAATACTGACGTTACATCGTTTACATCAGAGAATATAAAGTGAATTTCTTACCATAAATATCTCCTAAACGATTTCTCCAGTTACATCGTTTATGTAAAAAAAAAAAAAAACGATTTCTCCAGTTACATCGTTTATGTAATTTCTACCTAGCTTACACCATTCAAACTTCAAATATATTTGTTATGTGACAATTGTACACGAAGATGTGTGCCAAACCGAAAATATTCATACCACTTGCAACTATTTGACAAACTTTTACTTGTTTGCAAAACCAAAAATGTTTTGAAACCCAGATCATAAACCGCAGATCAATTCAAGAAAAAGTAAAGCATGAAGAAACAAAAATCAAGACTCAACACAAATGGAAGAAATAAAGATGATCAAATGTCATTACAAGAACACACAAACCCAAACACGGTAACGAGACCAACAATCACAATTGGTTCTAAAGTAACAATTGATTGTGTTTGAAAGCATTACAATCAATCACAATAAAAGGGCATTGACACTCTTTTTAGTTAAGAAGAACCTGAAACGAAACCTTGGTTTAGAGTTCAGACTCGATGAGGTAATCCCCGAGCCTTTCCACAACCAAGTTGCATTGACCTCCAGTCATTGGTTCATCATAGATGCCAAAGACTAGAGCTTGGTTTGTCTTCTTGATAGTGACGCCTCCAGGTCCCTGCAGATTCACAGATTGTTAAATAAAATTCTGATTCTATTCGCTATCACAATCCACATGCATTTTCCGTAAAGGTTAATCGATAAGATTCATAAAAGCATCTCCGGATGTTTAAACTAAAGAAAGATACCTTCTTCCCTCGGATGACAGCTCCTTGTTCACCTTGGATAACCATGTATTTTTCGCCACCAAGAAATAGTCCGGTTGGGGCAAGAAACCCGGCCTCCTCAAAGTCCTTCTTGATTCCATCGATTTCTTGAGGCTTCAACTAAAACACATATCAAGAACACACAGCAATACACATCAGATTTTATCGGTCCATTGTACAACGTAAAATCAAGTCAACACTTTAGGTTATTGATCCACACATCTTGATCAAAACATTTCCTCCGCATATAAGGAAAATAGAGATACAATTGTTAAGCACTAAGTAATCCTAATTAAGACCATAGAATCTACATGCCTCCAAGAAGAAGACCTAATTTTCATTTTCATGGATTAGTTAACAATGGATCGCTCACGCATGCGTGCGATTTCACAAGCACATGGATCTTCTATGGAAGCTACGATCTAACTTGTGATACCGAAGAAATCTCACAATCAGACTAATAATCTAGAGCCCTAGGTTCGAATTCAATTTCGCATACGGATCGATTGATTCACAAAAGCAAATCGAAAATATTCATCAGATTCCGGAGATAGAAAAATTCAAAATCAGATCCGAGATTCGTCAGATCCGATCACGGAAAAACTCAAAACAGACGGAGGAATCCGATCGATTCCGGCAATTCAAACGACGGATCGTAGAAAAGGCGAAAAGAGAAGATGAAGAAGAAGAAGAAGAAAACCTGAGGAAATTTGGCGCTCTGAGCCCAGACACTGCCGTCTTGACCGAGAATTGCGGCGGCGGTGAGCGTGTGGCCTTCGACATCACACAAAAGGTGCTCATCGACGTATGATTGCCACGACATCTTCTTCTTCTTCTCCGGTGAGTACTGAATTCTCCGACGAGTTTGTTTCTTCTGTGAAATCTCCGAGAAGGTTTTTATCTACTTCTCTCTCTCAATTCTCTTCGTTAGCTTTATGATCGTGTAGACAATGAAATGTTGTGCTTATAAATTAATAAAAACTTTCGTCAACTGTTTAATTTCAATTATTCTTGTTTTTTTTTTTTGCAAAATAAGAGTAATGATTATTACTAACTAGTGTTGTGCCCCATGCTTCGCACGGTCAAAACGTTTACGTGAAATTTTTTTTATCTTATTTAAAAATTAGTTTTTATTTTTTATTTAATTTTGAGATAATTAAAAAAATATTTGATTATTTAGGATTTATTGTTATTTAAATTGATAGACCTAAATTCAAGGAATCGTGGGAGGTAGATAGAGCAGTTGATAAGTTTAAGTGATTTTTTTCTTTATTTTTTTATTTTTTCGTCATAGAAAAGTAAAGTGAGTGAATTTGAGACTTAAAAACACGTGTTAGATGGAGAGAGTGTCAGTTTTTTTTTTAAGAAGTGACTTGTGAATTATTATAATAGGATTTTACCAAAGTAACAAGAAATAACATAATAACATTTTTCCATTATAATTTTAGTTTTAGTAATGGCATGTAAATAATTTATAAATTTATTAATGGAGGAAAAGATATATAGATAAATAAAAGCAAATTGAATCATACAATGTGTAACTGAAAATGCAAAATGGAGGAAAAATATCGTATACCAATTTTTTTTTTATCAAAAAATAAATAAATCATGTACCATATATAACATACTTTACTTAGCTATATACTTTAACAACAAAACATTGTTAGCTATATTAAGAAGAAAAATTCTATTTTAGCCCTTCCTTATCATAATACTTTCTCTAGTTTTTTCCAAATGGATGTTTTTTTAACAAATTAAAAAAAAACACTCAAAATATAAGCGACCTGATTTACTTTATGCGTCATCAGATGTCAAATAATTACAAAATTTATACCTGAAAAATAATTTATCAAGTTATTTTCCCGATTTTTCCTTGAATAGATTACATAAAGGGACATAGAAAATCCACAAAACAAAGTAATATTGTATTTGCAAGATAGATCAAACACAGCATATTTTATTTTAAATCATCAGTTGAAATTGTTTTTTCAAAAACTTTTCCCAATTATAAATATAAATTTTTTATTCCAAAAAACAATAATTAGATATGCCAGAAGTTGCCATCATTTCGTTCTCTCCAAATACAGAGTGGATATGCTCTTTGAAGATCTCAAATTAAGATTCTCAATCATATATTATTGCGTTACACCAGATATTGCATTTACTTGTGGCCCATCACTTTCGTAATTTCTATTTTATAGTCAAAGTTGGGAAATAATTTAGAGGTCTTGTGATTAAAAGAATTATCATGGAATTATAAAATTATGAGTTCAGAGTTCTCTCGATCATGGTTGGTCATTATAGGAATTGAAAACTTTGAGTTCGAGTTCTCTCAATCATGGTTGGTCATTATAGACATATTAGTTGACAACAATACCTTCTGTTTTGCAAGATTCAAAATATAGTCTCTATTTCAATGTAGGATCCCATCTATTTAGTGCTTATCATGAAAGGAAATTAGGAGATCCAAATCTTTTAATGTATGTAATAACTGAAAATAAATAAGGAACGAATAATCGCGCGAAATATATCTGGTTTGGTTTCTTGTTTTGGTTAGTCCGGTTTTATTTTCATGTTTACATTCGTAATCTTTTCAACAAATGTTGTATTAGTTGTAAAAACGTTATTTTTTTTTATATAATTTAACATTAAATTTTAAAAAGAAAAAAAATGAACATTGAAAAAACTAGGAGTTAATCATGTCCTCTCTGTCTTGACGAATAATAAAATTCAGTATAGTTGTCTTAAGCAATGCATGTATACTACAATTGATAGACGCATGGATAGCTATCATGTCTAGTACCCGTTCACATAATTACTATCTATGATGGTTTTGCTACGATATATAAAGAATTTAGATATGAATCAGAATGACATGAGCGTATATACTCAACAAATAAATGTACGGTAAAATTAATTTTTTTAGAACAAACAAATTAATCACGAAACCATGAAAAAGAGAGGAAAAAAAAGATAGTCTTTAAGTACTCTCGGCTTCTTCACACAGGCTTTGTGTTATTGTCTGCAACCTAGGCTTCAGTTTTCTGTTAAACTTTGCTAAGGTAGAAACCAGAAAGACCCCAAATTAATTTTTTTTTAAAAAAGATAAAAAGAAAAACCAAAACCATGCACCCAAAAAGAGAGACAATGGTTTTATGAATTAGAAAAAGAGATGTAAAGCATTGTAGATGGTTTAAAGACCCTGTTCGATCAAGTAATCACCCAACCTCTCGACAACCATGTTGCATTGTCCTGGAGTCACTGGCTCTTCGTACAAACCAAACACCATTGATTGTCCTGTTTTCTTGATCGTGATCCCTCCAGCTCCCTGCCCATGTTCCAATAATAATGGTTTTGAGAGTTTCAAAACCAAATCATAACATCAAATACTATCAAGATGATTAGAGTTTGAGCATTTTTAATCATAGTCTGTCTAAGGAGTGTAATGGGAGGAGTTGATTCTCAAGAAATCGTAAGGCCTCAAGTGTTTTAAGGGTTTGCATTTGCATTTACATGCATGTGAATCTTTTTTATTATAAAATAATTCAAGTAATTTCATAAAATATTTTCCGATCCCGAAAGTTGCAAGGCCTTAAGTCTCGATTGTTTCAAATGAAATGCTATACATTTGCATTTAACATGTGAAAAGTAAATCATATTTTAAAAATATAAAACATTTTTAGGTTTTCTTAGATAATATTTGTAGAATGTAAACGTAATCAATCCAGCGTTAATCTTAAAAATTCTCTTAAACATACCTTCTTGCCACGGATGACAGCATTAGGCTCGCCTTGGATTACCATATACTTTAGCCCTGCGAGGAACAAGCCCGTGGGAGCGAGATGCCCCGGCTCATCGAAATCCTTCATAATGTCTGTGATCTCTTGAGGTTTGAACTATTTGAAGACAAATGAATCATCAGACTTTTTAACCTTGAACCAAATCCGGAATAATAAGCTTGATGCAAATGTTGAGATCACAAATTAAAGTTGATCAGCTCATCTATATATATCACTATAAAAGTGTCCATATGTAACGTAACGGATAGAAATAGCAAGTATCAAATCATATTTCTCTATATGAAAAATTTAAGACCAACCAAAACAAAACATGAGATCGCTCGATAATCGAGGAGGAGGAAATTTAACCTGAGGAAAATTAGCGCTCTGAGCCCAAACGCTACCGTCATGGCCGATGATAGCGGCGGCGGTTAGGTGGTGACCTTGGCCGTCGCCGACATCGCACATCAAATGCTCATCAACGTATGCTTGCCACGACATTCTCTCTGATTTCTTCTTCTTCTTTTTTGCTTTTACTCTGCGCGATTAGGTTTTTTGATCTCTCTACGTATGTATGTGTGCAATGCAACTCCAAGGGGGACTTGGTCGTCTCGATAAATAGGGAGCGAAAAAGAATGTTGTAGGATGAAAATATTAACCGTTGGATTCGTAAGACAACTTCTTAGCCGCTCATTTTTTTGTTTTTGAATAAATTTTTAATTAGTGTTTTACTGATGCCTCGCCTTTGTTATAGCTTAATCATTCACTCCATGCATGCCACGTGTCTTTTCTTCCCTTTGCTAATTTTCTCCTATTAATAACTACCAAGAAGGATTTCAGGAAATAATAACAGTATTAGTTTTTGTTTTATTACATAATTAACCAGTTGGATTCTTTTCGGTTTAGGATATGGTCAGAAGACCAAGAAAATGAACAAGATTTTGTAAGAAAGCTGATGTTGTGTCCGAGATATTAGCAGCCTCTCTCAAAAGATGATTGTCCCAATTTGGACCTTTATAGTTGATACAGTTACTATTTACTCTTTGAGACATGCATTGTAGCTTGTGGGCTTGTAGGCTACCATATAACATAAGACTTAGATTCTAAAAGAACCATTGTGTATGTCTGAACCGGATATCGTCGGTATCATGATCCGATCAAAATATTTTCAAAAGAGTCGTTGTTGATTGTTCTGATAGCTGATCACCATGATGTTTACGAAATTAAACATCAACACAACAAGAGTGAGCAGTAACCATGGACTAATTAAGGCTTTATCATATTTTATGGAGATTTTGTAAATATTCCATTCCAATAATATTTTTTTTATAAAAATAGTGTTTTTGAAATTGTTACAAACTTACAAACAACCTTTTTTAGCATGATGACGTCGTTACCATTTAAATCATACATTTCATCTCTTCATAAAATTTGATAATGAGCAGGTTCATAAAAGTTAATGGGCTAGAGCCGGTCGTGTAGCCCAAAGCAAACAAAAGAAGAGACAGATATTTGTTCTCTCGACTTGTCCGCTTACAAAACCCTAAGAGCATCTCAGTTGAGTTCCACTTGGTCTATCTCACTCTCTCTTTGAAAAATCCCAATGGCCAAGAAACTTTTGAACCCTCTTGAAGATCCACCAACCGCTTCTTCAAGCGACGATGAAGAAGTTGAGATTTCATCTGAAGAAGACGAAGAACAGATCTCCAATTCTTCTTCTAAAGATGAAGATCCCGCCACAACTCCCTCCACTAAAACCCTAAAATCTCCTTCCGCTGCCGCTCCAAGTCCCGATTCTGGTTCTGAGACGGATTCTGACTCAGATAAGCCACATGTCTTCACCAAGAAGAAAGAAACTACTGATTCACCGGCAGTGAAATCAGGGAAGAAGCGAGCTAGTGAAGGAACCACCTCGAAGGACAAGAATGTCAAAAAAGCTAAGAAGGTTTCAGGAGACGACGATAACAAAAAGCCGCGTTTTCAGAGATTATGGACTGAAGAAGATGAGATCTCTCTGTTACAAGGCATGATTGATTTCAAAGCTGAGACAGGTACAAGTCCTTATGATGATATGAATAAGTTTTTTGATATCGCCAAGGAATCTATAAGCTTTGATGTTAGTAAAAACCAATTCGGTGACAAGATTAGAGGTTTAAAGAAGAAGTATTTTGGTAAACAGAAGAAGAAAAGTGTTGAATCTGATCATGATAAGAAATGTTTGGAATTGGCTAAGTCTATTTGGGGACTTGGTGTTGTTGAATCTCCTGTGAAATCTAAGAAGAAGAAAGATGAATCTGTTGTTAAGGCTAATGGGAAGGAGAAGAAGTTGGAGTCTTTGGTTGAAGAAGATAAGGAAGTGGGGATTCTTGGAGGAGATTCGGAGTCGTCGAATTGGTTTGACAAGTCTTTTTTGGTTCGGGTTGTTGCGAGTCTCGGTGTGGATGAGTGTATTGTGAAGTGGAAATGGAGTAAGGTGTCAATGGATACTAAGAAGAGGATCGAAGAGAAGATGAAGCTTGTGGAGGCTAAGGAATTTGAGTTGTTGTCGCAGAAAGTAGATATTTTGAAGGAGGTGACTTCGGTGATTGCTGAAACTATCTAAGAAGAAGTAATTGGATTGTTTAGGTTTATTGGTTCTTTTGTCGCGGGTTTAATGGAGATGCAATGCCTCTTTTGTTATGGAGCTTAGGATTTATCTTTCTATCTACGCTTATGGTTTTTTGTCTTTTTGTTTCTTGTGTGAAAATTAGCTAAGAAGAGGAAGACAAGTCGTGTAAAAAGCCTTTTGGTGGATGGGTGTAATGAACTTAGGACTTCGTAAGCTTTGCAAATGTGCTTCCTCTTTCTCAAGTACGAAATGCAACCAAAATATAACAGATACATTTAACTACAATCTTTCAGGTTATAGACTAACATAAATCAATAACCTTGACATAAGTTATTATTTCGATAATGAAAAATTGAAGAGATTCTGCATCTTGAAGCTGCAAAGTTAGAAGAGGAATTAAAAGGTACATCAATTGTGGAATAACAACATCACTTCTAGAGAAACAAACACAAGTCTTAGTGTCCAACCTTCCTCAAAGGCAATAATAGTAGATTGCAAGTCTTGCCGATTTTTTATCTAGGCTAGATATCTTGCATATCAAGTATGTCTGATTATGCTTTTTCTTCTTCTTTGGAACCAAGTATGAATGAAGATGTTGTGTACACAAAAAACGATTGCTTCATAATCTTCTTTTCATTTTTGCTAATTCTTATCAGTTATCACATTTCATTTTTCACATGTTTTATGGATCTTTGTTATTGCTCATTGTAGAATTCTTTACTGGGTTAGCCAAAACAGGACCCGTTTTGGACCAACAACATTATCAATTCCTTTTTGATTATTTATTGAAGATCATTAAATTTAGTGATGCACATAATGAATTTCATCCAACAATATTTGCTCTCTCTAGTAAAAAAAAATTCTTTAGCAAGATCCCAATTTTCTTCTTTAGAATTATCAGATTACAAAAAAAAAAGTTTCAAAATCAGAAATAAGCTTCTTTCTACTAAATCAGTTTGATTAATAATGTAACTGATAAAAACCATTTTCTTCACACAATTGCATAACCAATACAATTACCAAAAAAACAAAAAAAGCTTCCAACTTTGTGTTTTCATGGAGATGACAATCCCACGCTAATCGCAGCACACGTTAACGGCTGCGCCGGAATTCTAAGACAGCTCAATTGTCCACCGGGAATCGCCGAACAATCCGGTTGCGGCCGTTGATAACCCTTACCGGGAATACAATTTCCGGTGAAATCAAACCCAACGCTAAGACTCGAGCACTGAGAGCTAAACCCAGAGAAGAAATTGAAAGAAACCGTCAGGTTTATCAGATTCCTCAAAGTGCAAACCAAATCAGGAAGATCACCGGAGAATTTGTTGTGTCCGAGATTTAAAACTTCAATCTCCGATAAGCAAGAGATCGTATCAGGGACATGACCCATCAAAGAATTGAAGCTAACATCAAACACTTCAATGTCGGAGAATAAACCGACTGATTCCGGTATACAACCGGTTAACTGGTTATTGAGAAACAGAACCTCTTTCAATTTCGAACCGGTGATACCAAAACTCGTCGGGATTTCGCCGGATAATTTGTTATTAGCGAGATTAATCACCGAAGCTGTAGAGTAACCGAGATTCCCAGGAATTTCTCCGGTGAATTGATTGTTGTTGAGAAGAATCGCGTCTAATTGTTTGTTGAAGAGATTTTCCGGTATAGAGCCAGTGAAATTGTTGAACCGGAGATCGAGGTAAACCAGATTTGGGATGTAGAGTGTGACTTGAGGGAAAGAACCGGAGAATCTGTTGTTGCTGAGATCGAGTTCTTGAAGAGAATCAAGATTCTTGAAAGAATCTGGGATTTGACCAAAGAATCTGTTGCTATTGAGATGAAGAATGGTTAGGTCTGAGAGTAAAGAGAGGTCTTTAACAATGGTGCCTTTGAGATTTGCTTTGTTTAGATCTATGGAGGTTATCAATGAACCAGAACAGAACACGCCTCTGTAAGAACAAACATCTTCACCAACCCATGTCTTAAGAACACCAGATGGATCTTCTGTAATGGCAGATTTCCAAGATTGAAGAGCATTGTAAGCTGCATTTGTTGTCTGTTGCTTTGGAGCTGAGCCAGGATTGGAATTAGGGTTTCCTCCACCTATCCAAACTCCGCCGTCGTCACCATCTCCGCCGCCGATTCCAACTCCAACTCCAATGCTGAGACCATCAGTTAGAATCAAACCCAGGAACAGAAACAAAGACAGAAGGGTAAAGTTGTTGGTGCCTTTCTTCTTCATCATTCTTGTTTCTTCTTGTTGTGCTTTTTGATACTCAACAAACTCAAGAAGCTTGGTTAAAGTTGCTGTCTTTGCTTCTTGGGGAATGTTGAAACTTGGAAAGAGAGTGAAAGATTTTGTTGGATTAATGAGTTTTGTTAACAAAAGTGTGGTTGAAGCATTGATTGATGATGAGCAAGTGTGGGGACAATGGTTTGATTGATGGAGTTTTGCTTCTCAGTTACTGTTTTGTTTTCAACTTAGGTTTTATATTTTTTCAATGGCCTCGTGCTATAATTCATCAAATGTCCCATATGAATTTTATAAGCATTATTTAGTAGATACTTTCGAATAGTATATACTCTATGATATTATTGCATATGGTTAGGGCGAATAGTATGTACTTTGCAACATTAAATTACTTTTAGAAGTTACCACTGACCAGTGACCACTGTCATAGTATAAAAACATTAATTACCTTTCGGGTTCAGAGGATTCGTGTTACGGATTTTTACCATTTCATAAGTTGTCATTTTTTTAGGCCTCGATTTTTTTGTTAAAAAACCTGAAAAAAAAGTCTCCTATGAATTATTTGAGAATTCAGAGAAATATATATTAAAACTTATCCATGTGCTACAACAGAACGTTCTTAAGAACCTTACCAAAAAAAAGAACGTTCTTAAGAATGTTTCTTTGCAAAAGAAATTATTAAAACTATGTCATTAGAATTAATATATGTAAAATTTGATCATTCATATAAATAAACATATCAATTATATTTAGGTCAAAAGAAAATTAATTATTGTTATACGAAAATCATCTTATTTTATGTGAAGCTGACAAGTACCTAATAATAATGTGTTTCCACTTTCCACTGACTCCGATTTTGCTATCATAATATTTGTCTGTCCTATCAGTTGATTTTTCTGTTATTCCATTTCCACCAAAAGTAAGAATGTGAAGAAATGAACCACTATTGTGACCGACGTAAAAACAACATCACTGTTGCGTGTTATGACCAATTTGATACAAAGGAAATTGTTAATTAAAAACGACAAATTACCATAGAGTATTAGCTAATAGCCTAATACTTATTATGCATATATCAAAAGAAGAAAAGAGAAAAACGAAGAAGAAGCAGAATATAGGGAGGCTATTTAAAAGTATAGCAGCTTCTGAGTGTGAAATGTCGTGAGATTGTGTTGACTTGATAACGATATTAATGAAATGTTAAAGAAATCAATTCAAGAAAATAAAAAAAAATTGTTAAAGAATTGGGAGGCTCACATGGAGGGGACACACAACAATATATTTTGGGATGACTCATCCATTTATAATAGTAGAAAATTAATCAAATAAATGGAATTAAAATGTACAATTACTAGTGATTGACCCGCGGTACACCGCGGAGATATATTTTTTTATTTAAAAAATTGAAATGGAAATTTTTTGAAGATTATCTATATATATAAACTATTATTTTGTATTTTTAAATATACATATATACCGCGGGTCGATTTTTTTATAAGTAAAAATTTTAAATTTGAAGTTTTATTTGTTTTGTAAATATTGTTAGTTTTGTTTAGTGTTTAAGATTGTATAATTATATTTTTATTGTTCATTCTATGATTCCACCCGTGGACCGTGGTATACCGTCCCGTATTAATATCGACATAAATCCGTCCAACCATATAACCTTGTCCCATGAAATTAAACAAAATTTTGTTATTTTTATTTTTGGTAATATTTTTATTTAAAACACATATAATTTGAGTCAATTTAAAAGTTTGCTTTTAAATAGTTTTCATAATATATATATTTTTAATTTTATAAAATTCAAATATAATAGTATTTTAATTATATAGTTAATTTTATAAATGTCAATAAAAGATTATTTTGCTTTGTATTTTTTTTGTTGCATAAATAAATATTTGGTTCCAATTCAGTATATATTTATTTTTTTGTGCAAAGAGAATAAAAGTGGTGAAAGTGATTATTTTTGCATATGACATATTTTTGTATTTTGTAACTGCAAATGGATGGTTTGTTAACCGTACGAAAATATGAATGATTCTAGGGATATCCAATTTGGTACGGTGAAACATATTTCTAACATCTGCAACTACGACAAAATGATCAATATACAATTGTTTCCATTTGACCACCTTTTCAAAGAATGCAACATGTTTCGTCTATTAGGTTGTAGCGGCCATTTGCCGACGAAAGAATATTTGCAGGGTTTATAAATGAAATGTGTGTTTGATGCTGTGATGAGAGGTAAAAACATATAGTATATATAGGCTCGGGAGAATTAGGTCAATATTCTCTTGGTGATCTAGGAAAATTAATTCGCAACCTTAACTAAAATGGAATCAAATATTTGTAATTGGAATTTTTTAGGTATATGCTACAAATGCGATTTGTAACAATAGTTAGTAGTTTCTATAAAATTTAAGGTATGAATATTTTGTAATTAGTTGTATCGAGATATTTTAGAAAGATTGTGCCTAGAATATTGGCAAAGATATGTGGAGTAATTTTTGATTTCAAAAACTGACTTAAGTAAAGAATAAATGAGATATATGAAAAGATTGTGTGGAGATTTTAAGAAATAAATTAAGATAGATATTGTTTGGTTAATATCTTTTAAAATTTTTATCAAATCTTAAGAATTAATATGTGTCGTTTTTTTAAGGTAGGATGAGAGTAATTAGTTGAGAAAAAAAGGAGAGTTTAGCACTAAACGTTTTTTAGGTTGTAGCGCTACAACCTAATGATCAATAATAGTTTCCATTTGGTAGATATTCTCGATATTATTGTTAACAGCATTTAAAATTGAATATTTGATTTCCATATATTTGAATATCAAATCTCGCAATATTAGGAAATTTTGTGAGTTAATTTATTGTTTTGTAAAATTTGCTTAAGACAATATTTGTGTCTGATTTTTTTTGTAGGGACTAAATGTACAATTACAAAATTGTAAAAGGATTTTTGAGGCCAAATCTTCACCAAAAATGTATATATAGATTTTCCACTCATTATATTCTGGCTCTTACCATTGTTCGTTTTAATTAAGAAACTAAATAAATTAGGTGGAAACTTAATTTCTTGTAAGTTTTCCATTCAAAATCTATTAGTTATGCATGCATCTCATATTAACTCAATCTACGTAACATAATTCTTTGATATCTCATTGCGTTGAAGTTGAAGATACATGTTATAAGACTAAACCAAAAGCATCCTTTTACGAATGAGTGAGATCATCAACAGTGGCGGACCCAGAAAATATTTTTACCGGGGTCATTTAAAAAATAATAGTATATTATTTAATATATTTTATAATAATATTATACATGTACACTATATTTAGAAATATATTGTGGTTTTCAAACAAAAAAAAACAAGAGAAAAAAAAATATAAAGAAAAATAAACGAATTTACTATGTCATAAAAGAATGGAATTTAACCAAAAGTGTCAAAATGAGGAATTGAACTCAGGTTAAGGTGGGTCATTAATGCTGGGAATTGCCAAATCTGCTACTGGTAACTTAAGACATTCAATGCATAACAACTTATTTAACCCGGGTCAGTTGACCCCCCTATTTTCTAAGTGGGTCCGCCCCTGATCATCAACACAAATTTAGATGGTATTCATAAAGACAAATGTTAATAAAAGATTAAGAAAAATACAAAATATATGAATCTAGCTAGTGGACAAACAATTGTATGTTTCTTATATCTGGGCTCTGGGGCACCCAAGCAGCTAACTAGTGTCTCAAAATAAAAACAAAAGAATGTCCACATATATTAGGATATTAATACTTAAATCTAGCAAGAATACAATTATTTTATGAATCTTATGTTTGGATATGCAAGCCGCCAGCTCATATCTCCATATAAAACCAAAAAAGTATTTTTGGTAATTAATAAATTAGATAATACAAAAAAAAGTTGTAAATAGATGTGGATATGTGTGTGTAATGTTTAATAAATTTGGTCCATGTAGTGTTAATATGTGATGTTACATATTGATAAATAGGTTAGGTTATAGCGCACTAATGATTACATAAATTAGTGAGTGAGAGATTTCATGTGAATGCAAAGAAGGTAGAAGAGAAGAATCAACACATTTTGTTGGGGTTTTTGTAAATTTGAGTTGGAAGCTATGGGTCTAAATGGTAACTGAGGAATCTGGCTGAATCCAGCTGAGTTGCTGAATCTGGCTGAATTTTTAGTGATTTTCGGCTGAATCTGGCTGAATTTTTACATTTTCAAATGGTAACCGCTGAATCTAGCTGAATTCTTTTGTGATTTTTGGTGGTATCTATCAAAATAATTAAGATTTTAACTGAAACGTATCGTCAAATAATATTAATAGAATAATTAAGAAAATATCTAAATAAAATAGATATATAAAATGATCCAATGGTCTAATTAACAATTATACTAATAAATAAATACTAAATTATCTAAAATTAATACTAATATAAATAATATATTGGTTAGCAAAATTGAGTTATTCTTTCATATTTAATTTTTGAACTATGAAAAATATGTAAATAATTAATGAAAAGCTTTGTAAAGCGTTATTGAAAACTTAATTTCAAAAATTAACATGATAATAAAATATAAATTATCTAATTGTGTTTTCTATTGTTTTCTAGTAGTTTAATCAATAATATGATGAGGATGATTAAGAAAATTATTAAAATTTTGATATTTTAAGTAATATTTTATTAGGAGTTACGTTGTTTTGCAAAATTTTAAAATTTTATTTTAAATTATCCAAAAATATTAAAATTATCAAAAATTATCTATAGTTATCCGAACATGAATTCGTTTCTACTCTGATGTGTAATTTTTGATATACAAAATATTTTAATTCAAGTTATGTACTCGTAATATCCAAATTTTAACAAGAAATGAACATATCTACGTATCTGTTGGTGTTGCAAAAACTGCTGAATCTGGCTGAATTCAGCTGAATTTAGTTTTATGCAAATGGTGACTGCGGAATTGCTGAATCTGGCTGAATCCGGCTGAATGTTTTTATTATGTTACCATTTGGAGCCTATATATTCCCCACTAGGCCACTAATAATGGTTATTTTTTCTTCATCACTATTTTTTTGGGGTGTAAAAGGTAACGAAAATAAAGGCATAAACATAATGGTTTTTCTTCTCATTTTGACTTTCGAGTTCGAGTCGACATTAGCATTCATAAGAAACACATTTTTCTTGTATCTTTATCGCATGCGCTATCTATAGCATTCATACGAAACAAATAGAGTTTTATCTTTATTCCATGTTCTATTGTATCACTTTTGAAGAGGAAATACTTGTGTTGAATATATCAACCAAAAAGCTATTGTTATATAGGACACTATTATATCAAACCCAACAAAACTTTTGTTAAACCAAAAAAAACAAACCAACAAAACATTAAAATCAGAGCAGAACCATAACATTTGTCTAACCTAATTGTTAGTATAATTAAAATCAAAAACAAGTATAGGACCTCATTGGTTTTCTGTAGCTGGCATGGATGCGACGAAAATGATGCTAATCTGTTTGTTTTATTGTTGTCACTTGTCAATGCCAAAATCATGTTTATTTCGTAGTCGATGGTTCAACAATATATTTTAGTAATGAATTTCTATAATTTCGTAAACACTTGTTGCCAGATTATGGAACTATCAACAATTAAAAAACAACAACAAAAACACACACACACACACACACACACAAAAAACGATAAAACGATTGTGATTTGGTCTGAAACTGGCCTGCAATCTTGGTTTGTATCTAGGCATTGAATCTCATGTCATCTAGCATTTTTAAACTTTTCAGTTCAAACCCTTTTAAACATACGCTGCACTCGATGTAAAAACGGTATTTTCTTTTGATTACTGTATAATTTAACATTAAATTCAAGAAAAAAAAAGATTGTGATTTGGTCAATGAAATATGTATATGTCGATATATCATTGAAGAATGAGTAGTCAAACCAAGAACCTCAAAAACATACACATCAATAACGTGGGCTTTTCGATGTCTTAAGATTAATGGGCTTATATGGGCCAAAACATACAAGTTTTGTTCCCAGTCACAAGTACTTTAATTTTCTTATTGAACAGAGTAGCGATGACGTGTCTAAACTCCAAGAAGAAGAAGAAGAAGAAGAAGAAGAAGTTAAAAAAAAAAAAAAAACAAAGATCTGAAAAAGAAAAAAAAACGAATTGGAAGAGAGAGCTTGGAGCTTGTTGGAGATGGGAATAAGGTTCATATTGATGGTGAACAAGCAAGGCCAGACTCGTCTTGCTCAGTACTACGAATGGCTCACTCTTGAGGAACGTCGCGCTCTCGAAGGCGAAATCGTCCGTAAATGTCTCGCTCGCAACGACCAGCAGGTTCCTTCCTCTCTCTTCTCTTCTAATTCCATTAGATCGCTCCTGATTCTGCTCCGATCTCGTCTCCTTTAGGTCAATTGATGTTTGTTTTGATCTCATTAGTTTTGAATTGTCCTTTGATCACTGCGAATGTTGGATTGTTAGATGATCTGGATATGGATCGATCCGTCATTAGGTTTTGAGTCTCTGTTTGTTATTTGATTAGAGAATCGAAGTATTTCTGTTGGTAATCTAGATTGACACAGAGCCGATTTGGGAATTTTCGTAGCGGTGATGCATAAATCTAAATCACCGACCATTGGCCAATTGGAATCAAACTAATTTAGTATCATTGATCCTAGTTACATTGAGGTCTCTGTTTATTATGTTTTTGGTTTCTTCTTGCTATGTAAAGGTTGGTGCAAGCTAATCGATTAGCGTGTAAAAATGTTGGAGTTTTCGTTGTTCTAGATCAACAGTTCTTCGTTAATTCTGTTTAGCTTACGGCATTAGACTAAATTTTACTGCATTTTGTTCTTAATAAAACAGTGTTCATTTGTTGAACATCGCAACTACAAGATAGTCTACAGGCGTTACGCATCTCTCTTCTTCATGGTTGGGGTTGATGATGACGAAGTAAGTTTGTTATACACCTATCTATTTTGACATCAAATTAAATGGGTTCAAGTATGTGTGGAGAAACAATATAGAAGAGTGATGAATAGATCATAAGAAAGAAATCCTTGTACAGTCTACTATATATACACAATCTATGCCTATGACTCCTTAATATGCAAACAGTAAAGCTCAGCTTAGGTTTTTTTCTTTCATCAATCTCGAAATTGTTTGCTTGTTGACACTGAAACACTCTGTTCTCTCTAATTCTTGTCCTAGAACGAGCTGGCGATTCTAGAGTTTATACATCTTTTGGTTGAGACAATGGACAAGCATTTTGGAAATGTGGTAAGCTGTCTGGGTTCACAGTAGTCTCGAATCGAATAGACTGTCTTGGTTTTTGTGTTCAACCTTATTGATTTATATAACTCTTTTTTTATGCAGTGTGAGCTTGACATAATGTTCCATCTAGAGAAAGCTCATTTCATGCTGGAAGAAATGGTGATGAATGGTTGCATTGTGGAGACAAGCAAAGCCAACATACTTTCACCTATACAACTAATGGACAAAGCCCATTAATGCAAATCACCTTGTTTCTATTTCCGTTTCATCACTCTGTTACACACCACTTCTTGTATTATTATTAAATATGCTTCAAAGAGAGGATATGTTAGTTTTGTTTTAAAAAAATAAAACTAGAACTACCAACTAGTATATAGCATTACCGAGAATTCAGTGGGAGTTTAACCTTCTCAATCATTGGAATCAACCAATTGGGAGTAAAATTTCTCAAGAATTGAATGATAATAAAGACAGTTACAAGCTTGTCTAGCTATTACATCCGCATAAAGATCTGTTTGTCGACTTCTTGGAAAAAACGAATGGCCGAAAGTGTCTTCTTGGTTTCCTTAAAGATCTCTTTTGTGTATGTTTACAGCCTTGGCCACTTATTTGGATCATCAATAGGTTGAACCATTTGCTTAGAGTCACTGTCAAACTGAACAGACTTATATCCCAAGTTGTCCAAGCATGACATTGTCCACACTAGTGTCCTAGCTTCCACTTCCAAATTTGTCCACAGTCTTGGTAAAGTCTTGGCACCATACCATCTTACCACTCTTTTATAATCTTCTAGTATCCAACCAACTCCACATATTGTTGAATCAGCATTGCAAAAAGCACCAAAATTGTATATAAATGTGTTAAACGGTGGAACCTGCCACATGACTTAAGAACAGAGATTTGAAAAACCAACAGAGCCGTTTAACGGCAGTAAAACAGAGCGCCGAGAAGAATTTTATCAACTATGTCGATCAAACCAAAGCTGCGAAAGGTCTTGGAACTGTGAAAATTCCCAGTAGTGTAAAGAGCTAATTCTGTAGCGGCGAACCAATTTATATATTTCATGTCAACTTCACTCCCACACTATATTTTTTTCCCTTAGCTCGGCAATCGCCATATTTTCGTGGTCATCGTTTGATACCTTAACTTCTTCTGGTCATGCACATAGCAATGATTTTAGCTTTACATGATAGAGAATGAATTTTTGATAGCAATCTTCTGGTCATGCACATAGAGAAAATTTATAACTTAGGAAAACAGAGAAAACAAAATTAATTATTTATATTAAAATGCTTATTTCATACAACATAACTTTTAAATTGATGGGGGTAAAAATTACAAATGAACACCAACTTTTTTATTAGATAGATAGATTTATCTTCGTTGTATACAATAGAAACTCGTTAATCTTCGATCTCGTTCTCCACATAAAAGGTAGTTAATTAATTGACTCTTAGCTTTATCTCACCATTTTAGTTTCGCCGGAAAATACTGCAATGTCAAAAAAAAATATACACATTAAATGTGAGACAAATAGTTAAATTGTTACAAGTTTGGTTATAAGAAAAACATTATATGTAAATGTATTTGAGTATTTTTACCTTGTTGATGAGGGAAATGTAGTAAGGCTTCACTTGTTCGACATCTACAAGAACTTTGCTCTTACTGTATAGGTCATATTTACTGCAATATTATTTTTATTCGTCAGTGTCACAAAATTGGAAATGATGTATATAAAATAAATAATATAAGATTAAAAAAAAAAAAAAAAAAACTCTTACTTGAAGACATGGAGCCACTTGAGATCATCTCTGTCCTCATCGTTCATTAAGTGCGTGTAAGCTCCTGCCTTGTGCAATGCTGCATGATTTTTGTTTTCAATGTTAATGATAACAATAATAACAAAAAAGTATCTAATATGTATAATTAATTTACTGAAACCATATAATACAAATAAATATGTGTATATATTGTAACATATGGTTGAAGACGTACGATAGAAGGAATGGTATCGAATAATGAAGAGACCAGCGTGAGGAAGAGTCGTGCCATTTTCCTTAGCCACCTATTTTAAATGACGAAATCAGCAAAATAAGTATAGTTTTTGTAGTTGTTTTCGATAGGTTTATTCATAGTAATTACGAAGTAGATAATTAATTACCAAATACATGTAGTCGTCATGACCCCATGACATGAGAACATTATCTAATCCACATCCTTCACTGTAAACTCCATTTTTTGTGTTGTATTTTGGGTTGTTGATATCAGGATTTCCTTTGAAATACTGCAAGATATAACAATGGTGAACGTTAAATTAATTAAGAGCTCGAGTACATTTGTCACTTAAATTTAACCGGAAAACGTTTGAAAAATCCGAAATATACTATCGATAGAACTAAATTATGTTATTGTTTACCTTGTGGTGAATATTGGCCGAGTCGAAGGTGCATCCAACTGGAAATGTATCACCTATCATTTGATGGAAGTGTTAAAAGTTGTTTTGTAGTTATTTTGCAGAATTAATTTGATGTTATCTAATTCTAAACAAAGAATAGGATAATTAATATTGAATACACACCAACGACAGCCCACTGGGGAAGACCACCGAATTCTGGCAGAAGAAGAACCTTGCCAAGATCTGAAAAAGAAATAATAATTTAAAATAAATTTACATTATCTTGTACATTAATCTAACTCAAAGTATTGAAAGAATTAGGTAGCTTAGATATTTAAATTAATTGACATGTATGCATTAAGATATCTAATATGTTCAATAGTAACATAACCAGTATAAGAAGAAGCAATGAACTTTTAAATTGTTGACCGTTTAATATTCAACATAACAAATCGTTTGCTCTTATCATTTTGAAATTTCTCAATACTAACTACTCCCTCCGTTTCGTTTTAGTTGTCGTTTAAGGTTTTTTCACACAAATTAAGGAAATCATTAAATTTTCCGTTTTACCTTTTATTAATATATTTTATAAAAAATTCCATTGGCCAAAACATTAAAACAGTAGGGATAAAACTGGAATTTTTATCAAACATTTGCATTGAAAACCTAAAACGACAACTATTATGAAACAAAATTTAAATCCTAAAACGACAACTAAATTGAAACGGAGGGAGTATAAGAAAGAATAAAAAGATAAAAGAATTAATGATTTGTGGAACACTATAAATGGTAGATTTTTAAGCGTGGCGAATATTTTGATGATATAGCAGAACAAGACATGTACCATGGATTAAGGCAGTGAGATGGAGCCAATCTTCGTCGGGATAATCCCTGCGAATGGCTTCAGCGGTTTGGAGAAGGTGTTGGATTTGAGGCTCATCAAGATCCGGATCGCTCTCGTCGACAACATTGTTCAATAACTCACAACATTCCCATATACTCATTTCCATCTTGTTAAGCTTTCCATACTCTTTCCTCATCTTCTTCACCTGTCCAATTTTTTTCAAGTTCAGTTTTCAACTAAACCTATATACTTTAAAATTTAATTAATTAGCCTAATGGAATTATTAAATAAGATTTGTTTGGCTTACAAAGTCATAGGTCTGATGAATGTGTTGCATCCTATAGAATTCCTCAACGCCTTGTTGTCTCTCGCTTTCACCATTCTCATAATCCCTTAAAAAAACCAAGAGAGACTATAATTAGTTTTGATCAAAGACAACATTTATGTCCATAGATATGGATCAATTCATTAAAACAAACCTGAAAGAATGGCCTAAGAAATTCATATCAGGAGCATCAAATGCATCAGTTTCCTTTGATTTTGGAACCACAAAACCTCCATCCAACACCAATTCATCATCCTTCTCCTCTATCACTTTCTTTTCATCCACTCTTGAATCTATAATCGTCACCACAAAATTAATTCATAACTTCTCATAATTTTTATTGTAATTTAATTGATCATAATCTCTAATTCTCATGCACTAATATCAATCTAATCTGCAATATTTGATTAATTATCTATATATCTCAAAGAAATCAAATTTAAATGTAACAAGCAATGAAACGTTACCAGAGACGAAATGTTCAACGAGAATAGTCATCTTGCTCGGAATTTGATACGTAACGTAAATTAAAATATTTAATTAAAAACAAAAACGAGAAATTGTGTGAATTGTTGTGTGAGAGATGTTGTTGAAGGGACATGAGAATGGAGTCGGTATTTATATTGATCCAATCAAAAAGTCCTTCCTGCAGATTTGGAGACAGTGCAAGTCCTTAGATCACAAACATAACTTGAGTTCTGTCCTCAAACTGAAATTAATGTAGAATGAAGTCACACTTCACCGTATCTTCGTTATAACCAAACCTCACGCGCTTTTTCGGAGCGTGTAATTAACGTTGACTTTCAAGACGTGTCTTTGTTTAACACGCTCTAAAATTGAGTCTCTTTTGAGCTAATCTTATCTTAATTGTTATTAGTTTGTTAAAATTTATCTCTTGACGCGGATTTGCGCTAATAATTTTTTTTACTATTTCTGTTGTTTCTTAAAGATATAACTGTTCCATTAGTTCAAAAAAAGATATATAACTGTTCCGTTTTATCAAAAAGGGAAAATCAAAGGATTGATTATTAGTTATACGTGGCAAATTATCTAATTTTAGATAAGTCTTGGATGATTTTGCATGATTTTTTTTGTTTTTTGTTTTTACTATATCAGCATTCCACATTGAGTTTTTAGAATGGTCAATGTATGTCGGTAACAACTAATCTACTAAAAAAAACAGTAGAAGATAATCTAAAAAAAATGAGAAAATCTAAGGAGTCCTGGATTGTGAAATAATGAAATAAAATGTCCTTAGCAGCAAAATATAAATTGGGAATCGAGAAAAACAGCTGTGTTCTTCTGTTTTTGTGATGGTTTAATTTTAAGAATTAAAGAAATTAACAAGTTGGGAAGAGAAAAAAAACAAGTCATCGTGACGTGTATAATATTATCTCAATTTAGCTGTTGTGTATTGACCAACTTCTGACTCAGCATCTACTCACATTTCATTTCTTTTTTGTGGCTTTCTACAATGTTAGTATTTGTTTTCCTTTGGATTTAATGTCGTTTTTATAACGTTTTTGTGAATTAAGAAAATTTACTATATCAACATTTTACTGTCATACATTCATACTATGTTATATATTTAAAAATTTGTCAGAAAAAAAATAAATATATCATGACTAACTAGCACTTTTTATAGAACAGAAAAATATGAAAAATCGGATTTTATTCCCAAATAATACATTTGGTGAAGTGTTGGATACATAAGAAATTGCGGCGGGTATACTCCACCGTCCATAGCACCTTGTCTTCATCTGCAACGCGTGATCTTTTTAGCCGTTCATATAGATGTAGTAGTCGTTTGATTTAATCTGTTTTCTTCTGATATATTTTGATATCAAAAAAATAATTGGACCAAAACAAAAACATGAATAGTTGGACCAAAATAGAAACAAAAAAATCACAAAACATTGTCACTTTGGCTGGCTGAGGAGTGCCGGCTCAAATAGGGGCGCGAGCGGTGCGACAGCCAGGGGTCCAATTCCGTGCTCCAATAATTAAGGAGCCCATTTTAATTTTTTTTTTTATAAAAGTATTAAAATTTTAAATTACAACATAAAAATAAAATTTAGAAAGGCCCATAATTTTTTTTATTATTGTTTTTAGTTTTAATAATTAACTTTTTATAAAAATATCATACAATTTTTTTATATAACACAAAGAACACAAAAAAAAAAAAAATTCTAAGGGCCTAAATTTTTTTTTGCCCTAGGACCTATAAAACTGTTGAGCCGGCACTGAGTCTCAATAAAGAGAGTAAAAGTCTGTAGCTCTTGACCTTTTAAAATTCAACGAGCTCTCGTGACCCTTTTTCCTACACAGAGGACAAACACCGCACTGCTTTAGTGCTTACACTGTCCATTCAGGGCCGGTTCTTGGATTTTGATGGTATAAAACATATTTAAATAATATAATTTTACATAAAAACTAAGATTTAAAATTTATTATTAAAATACTAAACTATAAAAAAAAAACATTAGAAAAAGCGCTATCAAATATTTAGAGATTTCTAAATATATATTATAATATTCTTAACCAAGTTATATCAAATATTTAGAGATTTTCTTGTAAGAAGAAAGAATTAAATAGTAAATTAAAACAATTCTCTCCCATCACCAAAAAAGGAAAAAAGAAAAACCTGTAAAAATAGTGAGTCAAACTTAGCACTTGACACTAATATACTTGATACATAACCATCAAACCAAACAAGTCTCTTGATAATATTGCCCTAAAACATTTTTTATATTTGGAGGCTTAAAGTAGCTGCTTTGGCTGAGCGGACCGGACCTGCGTCGACCAACCACGTTCCACCAAGCCAATCAAAAGGTATATGCGTCTTCAACCCTTAAAATTTTATGATTTCAAAAATATTCATAAACTATGAATGAATATATGACTTCTAGTTTGCATACTCTCATATTTATTGATAAATATTATGATTTAATATATGTTTTAATGAGTAGATAATTTAAGAGCACAGAAATTTGCTAGAGATTATCGTAAAATATGTTTTCATATTGAATATTATTATGTTTGAAATGTTTATAATTTCGGCCTTAAGTTTTCAATGCCTAAATTATCTAAAAAATCTCTTCTTAAAGAATCATATCTAGAAGTTGTGCGTCATATTGATAAGATTTTGCATGAGATTAAAGATCATGAAGTTGATTATATAAGTAAAGACATTGTGTTTTATGAGATTAATGGGGATGAAGTTGATTATTTTGTTAAAACCTCGTTTAAACCTCAAATTGATTTTATTTTTCCATTAAATGCATTACATCCTCAACCATCAATGATTATTTCAAAGTAGATTCTACATTTGTAATAAATTTATTTGATATGAATTCTATCTCTGAATTACCACGGACAATTATGTGTTATCTAACATATATTGTTTCTTGCGCTAACAGAAGAAGAAAAAAAGGTTCATTGGCTCAATATTTTGATTCTCATGATTAATATTTTGTGTTGAACGGTCAAAATATAGACCTTAGACAAGCGTTTATGGGAGGCAACCCACATAGTTTTTTATTTTTATATTTTTCTTTTTTTTCTGCATTTTTGGTTATCTTTTCTTAGGATTTACTATGGTAAAATCACGTTCGGTGTTAAAGAGCCTAGATAAATGCATGTATTGTTTGGTTCGTGATCGATATTCCTTCGGCGAGAGCACACATTTTCACTGAATCTATGTAGGAAGACAAAATGGGATATTAAAAATTCATTTGGATCTTGAAATACAGAGTTAGGAATGTTGATTAAACTCATGGTCAAGTACATAAAGGAGGTTCTGGAATCGAGCTAATGAAGAGTGCAAAGTAGAAGTTCCCAAGATTATGTAAGTTTCCATCTTGAAACCTTTCTTCGGATCTCTTAATTTTGTTCATTCTTGTTTGAAACAAGACGATTTTGTACATTATGTTACCTACTGTGAGATTTTGGGAGAGGATCTCTGAACCGTATTGAAAATTTGGAGAAGAATTATATACACTCTTATTAACTTAGTTATGATTTCTTCTTTTGCTTATATTTTTGAGTACTTTCTTCATTGGGTTTGGGGATTAAAGGGATTTCATGATTTGTTGATGTTAGGTTGTTAGATTTTGGATTTTATTATTCTTCATATATGGTTGTTCTCAATGCTTAATCTAGATTGATCACCTAGATTCTGATCTTATGTTTAATTCATCGGGGCACCAGTATGTTGTTGAATTGTTCGAAAGAACATAGGTGAGTGAAACGTTCTTATCCAACAAGAGTTGAAGTTAAGACATTTTGTGAACAAATCAAACTTAAAAATTTAATGCTGGCTTGAACTTTTTAAAATCAAACGAGAGTTTAGTTTCTAGGAAATTCATCGCTTAGATAGTTAATGTTATGAGGGCGGGTTAAATTTACTTTAGTGATTTGAATTCAAAAACGACGCTTAGTCTGATTCGTGTTTAATTATCCGATATATGTTTTTATGAACTTCTAAGATTTTTCTTTGTCTAGTGTTTTTATCTTATTGATTTATGTCATTTTTTTTTGCTTAATTTAGGAAAAACAACTAAAATCTCTTTCATTTTTTTAGCTTTACTCGATTCTAACAAATTTGTAGTGTAACTTTTGGTCTATGTGGATTCGATCTCTAAGTGTTATATCTACATACTAGTCGATTGTGCTAATGTGCACATTATATTTTAATTGACATGTTATCAATCTACTATATCTCTTATATATACACTACATACCTTTACCTCTTTAATTAATAAAATAGAGTAATAGAACAAAACTGAAATTTAGTCTTCATTTAAAACTAAAAAAACGACTTTAAAAAATATATATGTAAACGATAATTATTATGAAATGGATAAAGTAATATAGATTTACGATATAAAAATGCACAATAATACCAAACAAGTTTTACATTGTCATGTATTATATTTATTTTAGTTTTAAAACATATTAGTTTAGAGGGTGCAACTTTGATAACCCGAAAGACAAAATGTATGTTTAAATACTAGTTCATTGACATCTTCGCATTCTTAGCTTCATGCCTGGGAACTGGTGGATGTTTTTTGTGTCCTGGAGGGAAAAATGGAGGTGTTACGCCTGGGAATTGGTTCACTGAGGTCTTTACACTTCGGTTTGGTGGAGGAGGAAATGGCTCGGTTGGGAAAGTTGGATATCTAGCCTGAGCAAGGCCAAATGCAAGAAGAAACAGAGTAACCACCATTTTTATCTGAGAGAGCTTCACAATCATTTTCCTTTTCTTTTGCTTGTGATTAAAAATGTTTACCCTATCTTTCTTATTTATATTGTTGTGACATAAATAAAATAAAGCAACACAATTATTTTTGGTTAACAAGAAATATATGCTGGCCAAAAAGTAAGGCAATATGATAATTGTTTGTAACTTAATTTGTATGTTATAAATCTTATATAATAAAGTAAAGTTTTTTTAACATCAATTTTTGAGAAGCTCACTTGTGGTATATATCTCTTTTTTTCACACGTGTCTATCTTTTTAGACTCAAATGCACCATTATGTATTTTCATTAGATTTCATTATATTATTATATTAAAAATATCTAAACAA